CAGGGGTCGTCATGGCGTAGTAGTAGATTGAGATTGGTCTTTAGCGTTCCACTCAGGTGGCGGGCACGCGAAGAGTGGAATGTACTACTAAAGAACTCTTTGTATTGTATCCCAGGTGAAAGACCAAAGTTGAACACCGGCGATGCGGGGGCTGAACCCGCACGGAATAGTAGCCGAATGTATTCATCTAATCAAACAACCACTTGCGTAGTTGCTTAGCAAAATGTGAAGTGAGGTCGAGTGGCGGAGGCCGACTCTCTCTCAAATCCAGAGGGCATCTCTCGCTGGCGTGTCCAGCTGAGAGGCAGTCAGCTTGAAGTGGCTTCAAGCTGAGAGACGGACGGAAGTGGTAAGTTTACAGGAACTGCCCCGATCCACAACAGTCGAGCCCAAGAGTACATGTAGCCTCGTACACTAATCCCTTATGCAAACTGGGTCAGGCACTGGCAGCCTAACCAGCGATATAACAGATAGCCGACGTCAGGCAGTGTTGAACATTTTGGTCACCTGTGATCTTCCTCAGCCGTGTACGACGAACACTCGTGGTGGAATCAAGCTTGTCACGCCTGCATCCACTACATCCCCTTATGATGAACACCGTCCAGTGCTTGCCAGTACTTTGATAATAATATTAATGAATATAAAGTACTATATCACTAGTAGTGGAGCATCTCAGTCGCGTTGCTCCGTTGAGTTGCTTATGGGGCCGACGCCCTGCAGTGGAATCTCCACTGCAGGCCGACGTCCCCGCTCTCCCAATGGATCCAATGAAGTTGTTGATTAATTGGGTCTAACCTATCACATACAGAGCAGTGCAGCTTCCGTTTAGACATCCCATCTTCAATTAGGAACACTGTAATCATAGAACTCCATTCATTGCATGTAATAAATGCATAGCGAGCTTTACATTTAGAAAACTAAGCCCTAGATGCGGCAACGGGTCCGTTCGCTGGAATGCTCGTCACTGGGACCGCCTACGCAAATACCGCGCGGGTTTGCTGCGGCTACGCTCCTCACAACCGCTCACTACCGTTTCGAGTGCTGACTACACGCGAACAATGATGCCCTGGTTGGTAGGCACGAACTTGAAGCCAGAGTCTGTCCTATCTTAGTTTCTTTAAAAAAGTGTAGGATACTGAGTCTGACGTTCCCGTATACAGTCGGTCCCGGGTTATATGCCGGAGTGGCACTTATGATGTTTGCGAATCAACAAGTTTTAGGCGGGCTTAACATATATGAGGGTGTACTGATTTAATTCATCTTACTTCAGAATGCTGTTCATCGACATCGACGTCGTAATGCCCGAGTGCTTCGAGCGCGAGGCGGACAAACGTCTTCCTGGTTGGCTGTGGCGTGAGGACTTCTCGAGAATGTTGAGCAAGGACTACTTTTGGATAATGTGGCGCATCGCCAGCAACACAGCAGCTCACTGCAACACAATATGTCCATTTGCAGCCTCCCATTTGCCACTAGGAACTTGCATACCTCCCCTAAATCAATACATCCGTGAATGTGGGTACGGAAATCCTGGGATACGGGTGAATATAGTCCGCCCCGGGCTGTATAAGCTTGCTGACCGTGTTCCCTCCGCTCTAAATCAGGATACCGACATTTACCTGGCCAACCCAAATGCAAATCGGGGTAGGGTTTCTGCTTCAGGTGAGCACAAACAAAATGTATCGTACTTAAAGAAAAAGGCTCTGTATGCGTTTGGCCCGCCGGTGCTCGCGCAGGAGAATGACCGCAGGAAGTAGGCCACCAGCGCCGGCCTCTCGGAATATTAGCCGCACTAACGGGGCTTAAATGGTGGCTAAGGATATGTACAACGGAGAGGCATCTAGCTTCTACTACTTCCCGCTTCGCGCTGCCAAGGTCATGCTTGTGATCAGCTCCAAGCATATTGCATAATGCCGCTTGGCCAATCAGATTGATTTCGTACTTTACGATATGTATACTGTACCCTTTGCCCTAATGACAGAAACGAGCAACTCTACCCATCATGTCTACTGATTGGCTAAAAGTACTTTGCCCTTAAGACAGGAATGGTCCTAAAGACAGGTAAATGTCGGTACGAACATATGCGACGAGCAGAGATTGCCAGTAACATATTTTTGATGGTCTACTAGCAGTAGTTGCCGCCGAGAGTATGATGAGTTACTATTACTACTACTAGAAATGTCCAAGCCTTCGTCGCAACGACTACTACTGTAGTAGTAGTAAGAAATATTATTTCAAAAACCTTCCAAATAGCATACTTTCCATCGCAAATTTTTTTTTGGGAGAAACTTTTAAGGCCTGCGCGCGGTCTTTCTGTATTCTCAAAGAGTGGAATGCAACTACAACGCTGCATTATCACAATATTGCATCGAATGCAGGGCTGGATACGCGTCCATCCCGGATGGAGATTTGTGTAGCATCCACCTCGGAGTCCTGGACCAGGGCAAACGTCTGGCGAAGCTGGCTGAAGTGGCTCGCACTGTGTACGTGGGGGGGGGGGCTGAAGTAGGTAAACCGATAGTATAATCAGCTTAAAGTCGAGCATAGTATTGACTTACCGCGCTGCACAGAGAGGGTAATAGAGATCGCTAGTTCGGAGGTTGTGATCGCCGCAACCAGTTCCTGTCGCCTTGAGCTCGGGATTCCCTTCTCCTCAGCGGGGACAGTCCTTTGTCTGCGAAAGAGGAAGGAAATCCCAGAATGAGCTGAGTTGCCAACGTTGACGAGAAAAGACGTGAGTTATTTGACCTAGCAACCTACTTCAATGTGACAGGATAGGATCGGGTTATTAGGAGTACAAATTAGTATTACGCGGGCCATGGCATAATACTACATAATATAGTACTAGTATGGGGCATTGGTTTCAGATTAATAGTTACTATAGTAATTTTCTAATATGATTTTACTACTTAGTAATATTTCGTTAAAGTACTGCTCACCTCTGGCGACGAGGCGTTTGGTCACATAATCAGAGCTGATAAAATGTAGCATTTTAGCTAAAGATGCACCCGTCGTCCAGTTGCTGAGCCAAATTAGCATTTCTCTGTTTAGAAAGTGCCTTCTAAATCGTGTACCTCCGATTTAATGACATCTGGTCACTAAAATCCGCATCTTTATGCAGTGGAATCTCAAATCCTATTCATGTCACAATTCCTAAAATGTCAGTAAACACAGGATTTTTCAGTTAAAAATGGCCCTGGGCGACTCCATCAGAATGTCAGCCCTAATCCGTAGGTAAGTAAGTGAGGGTATGGACCCTTGAAAAAGCTAAGTAAAAGTGAGTGCATCAATGCAAGGGGGGACTTCGTCCCCAACTATACACTACTTTCGTACTTGTATAATGGTGAATATACGGGTGATAAATACTTAATACTATAGTATTCGTGAAAACAGCAAGTAGTTTTAACCAAAAAATACAGTAAAAAGAGGTTGAGAGCAACTTCGCTATAGCAATTAATGGAGTGAGGGCCCAACGAGACTACAATCAAATTTTAATGTGCAAAATGAAAAGAAAAATAGCTAGTCCTGGACATGTTTACGCGAAAGCCTGAACAAACTTTTAAAAATTAACGCGTTGTGTTTATTAATATATGTAAAAATAGTGAAGTGGTCGACTATCATCCAAATATACTAGCGAATAATGTTAAAATGGGTCTTTTAAAGAGTTGGAGCTGTTTTTAGGGAAAAGATTTGTTTTACACTTAGAAATTAGATAATCTAAGATAAATGCCGAGTTTATGCAATACTACTACTCTAATTCGCAGTCCGAAGAACTGTCGATTGAGAAAGGTTTTTGGATGTCATCGAACAACATTCACACTACATCAGACAGCACTCGATCAGATCCGGTCTGAATGAAATTTACAGGTTCTGATAGATGCCTATTCGCCTCGGAGCTTCTTCTCCTTCTAGATTGATGTCAGATTCCAACGATGCCACCAGAGGAAGTGGAGCTCTATCACAAATATCTATTGGTCGAAAGAATGCAATTCTTGCTATTATACTATAGGAACTTTGTTCGTCGTAGTAATGGTGCCTCTGACAATAAGAGACATCGGTGTTAGTAGCTTGAACACAACTGGTGTCATTACTACATCGTATTATACTATATGCAGCTCCAGAGCACTCGACATAGTTGCGTTAAAGCTATTGATTCGATCTGTTCATTCAGTCATGAGTCCTAACTCATAATAATTTCCTCTTTCAGACACAGTATTTTTCTGTGGCACAGTTTTTCGGAGAGATTATTGAAAATTGTGTGGTCATTGAATTTGTCGAGGCATAAATTGTCGGCAGACTAGTATTGTGTGAATATTCACACTCATTGGAGTGAGCCTTAATGGATTAGATTAAACATTCCGCTAAAACTTTGCCAAAAACTACTTCAAGTTTTTAACGTTGTGCGACCCAAGATGGGAGAGGTATACCTTGATTTTTTTTCGTTCAATATTTTTTAATCCAGCAAACTCTATCCACCGGCAACGCGGTTACGTCCTATACGGTCGGGAGCGAATTCGTTTAGCGGAGACTCAAAAAGAGCTGCACCTGATGGTATGTCTTCTCCGGAGAAAGGGCTATAAGGTAGTGCAAAAAGAATGACGACCGCGTATGAAACCGGAAAAAGCCTAGTTCCAATTTATCTAGCTATGAATGGCTCGTGTGGGGGCATTAAGATGCTAGCTGTACTCGCTCAGGTATTACATCTATGAAGACTTTAGATAGTATTATGCTTACCTTGAGAGGCGACGCGCAGAGATCCACTTTACTACTGGTGGTGTAGAATTATCTACTACTTGGTCAGGGCACATTTCAGTGGCAGGAGGGAAGGAAATTACTTCAAGTACATTGATTAGCTAGTTGTTAAAAACCGTTCTACTAACTACAAACGAGCATAAGTTAAAACTAAATCCGTGGAAGCCTAATCCGACGAGCAGGAGGAGGTAGAATCACCGCGGTGGGCTTGACAAAACCCAAGCGTTGAAGTATCAATTCAACTAACTCTGCGGCGATGTTCAATTCATCGGAGTGACGATATATGAACTGGCAATGCCTTTGATAAGGAGCGATCAGACTTGGTGCAATTGGTTGTACAGTGGCAGTTTAAGCAGATGCTGCGGCTGCGAAGCAGGCGCAGGAGATGCCCGAGTACCATTGATGGTCAATAATGTATTGCAGGTATTGGCGTTTACCAATACTTATTGCAATGCCATACTGCAAGCTTGCAAGATATTGCAATACATATTGCAGAGCGCTGCGGAATTGCAATTCTTACTGCAGTCCTAAGCCAACTGAATAAACTCTTCAAACCCTAGTATTTTTCACAAAGTCGTGCTGTGCACGAAGAAGCTCTGACATTTCGGCTGTGAAGTCCAAACTTTTAGCTTCAAGTGTCTGCTACTTTGTTTGGTGCATGTTGCTCTAGGCTACTTGCACGTTAGGTGCTTGCAATCTTCTGACAAACCTCTTGGTGCTCGTCACTTCATTGACAGTTAAAGTTTTGTTGACATGTGGATGGTAACTTGCGCAACCTCATATGACGAGAGCGCAAGTGCTTTCGGCACTGAGTCGAAACACGCTGGTTCAGTTGCTCCAAATCTCTGGACAACCTTTTCTTAAATTTTAACTGTACACACCCAACACATACAGTAGTGTATCGTCCGTACTTCTCAAACATTCTCCTGAGCGGCGCCCCTGCCGCGCAGCGTGCACCTGATCCATTTTGAACAGGTCTTCGTTCACTATCTTGCCAAGCCTCAGACGGCGGAATGAAGTCGTTGGGGCACATCTTGACACTAGTGCGGAGGCCGTAAGCCCCCATCGAGTCGCGACTCGGATTGGCCAGCATCCGGACGGGAGTGGAGATGCCAGCAGACACGAATGGCACGTGAACGTGTAATTCGGGATCAGGTCTTTGTAGGACATCCACTTGAGTCGGAGTGGCAGCCGAGCAGTAGCAACGCTAAAGCAATTTCATGTGCTGTCGAGCATTATAGGCGCACTTATGCTCAACTTGAAGCCGATCAACTTTAGGAAGTAGGATCGCTTCGAGCATTTCAGTCTGAAGTCCATTGCGTTCAAGAGTGGGTGAGATACACTAGCAACAACGACGCAATGCTAGCAGATGCATGCAACAATGATTGAGTAAGCGCTCCGCCCTTCCATCAATATTTTTACTTCGGGCAGTACCACGACGCGCCCTGTCCGTAGATGTGTGGGTCGATCACATCGATTGCTTCGGCCATGATGTTCCACATGTCCAGATTCTTGGCGAAGATGACGTCGCTGTCCACGACCATGAAAAAGTCGCCCGCTGTCGGTGCGTAGCGCTTCTTAAATGGCAGCGACGCGGATGTCGCCACCCCCAGCAAGCCAGCACCACCGGGCTCAGTGTTGTGATGAGCAGCTGTCGTGTTGGCCGCGGAAACGTCCGCGTATTACCTGGACTCTTCGCGGTGCGGGGGGCCTTCCGGGGCTTTATGTCCGCTCGATGCTCAAAATGCGGTGCACTTCAGCGCTTGTGTCCGTATCCACGGCGGCGGTGGCCGCCTCGTCATTACTCGCTACTCGGCCGCAGGTAGAGACCGAAAATTCGGCTTGTATCCATGGGTTAAATGAAAATTTGCATTTATCCCAAGAAAACACCCACCTTATAAATTACCGTTTAAATTACTTGCAGTCGCAGGTTGCGCGAAGATGGACGCGTCGTCGACAGGGTCAACATTCACGTGGGTGATTCATAATGACCAGAGGTATAAAGTACTAGAGGTTTTTTTTTCATATTGCATTCTATCATCCACTGTTTACTTTGTATACTTATCGATAAGATCTTCGGACAATCAGACCCTTTAAATTACGAAGGCTGTGTTTTTTAATAAAAAAGTAGTACAGCAGATATGCAATTCAAGCAAAGAGGGAGTCGCTAAACTCTGATAGCAGCAGATATGCAATTCAAGCAAAGAGGGAGTCGCTAAACTCTGATATATGTAATTAGCGTGGAAAGTGTATCACCGGTAGACTCTGAATAGTATTGCAGTAATTATTGCAAGAACGACCAGTATTGCAGTTATTATTGCTGGCTGCCTTGGTACTGCAATTCATATTGCTACAGATCGCTTTACCTCCAATGCCTTCCCGTACATTTTTGGCCATCACTGCCGAGTACATCGTTTCCCTGTACGAGTATCCGTACAAGTTAGCTTCGAACTGCGAACCCCCCCCCCCCGGGTCCACCACCCGGGCCCCAATTAATATAATTATATGATTATTATGATAGTGTTTGTGTAATTTGTTTTGCTTAGGACTGTAGTATGGTTTCAACGGTCGCTTTCATATTGCTGCAGTAAACGCTGAAAACGGTCAGTACTGGTAAGCTCTGACGCCGTGATTTTGATGATGCGTACTTACTAGCTTACCCGGGCAACAAGCGTCCCGGGGGAGGTCGCAGTTCGTAAGGATTGAACAAGAGCTGGTCCAGCAGAGTGATATGTAAGAGCATTAATTAAAAGCGCGTCGTGTGTGTAGTTTGGCAAGTACACTTCAAGCAAAGCATTTCATAGATTTTATCATCCTTCTGAACGATCATTCTGAAATATGACGGTTAATCCATCGAAGCTTGGAAAAGGTAGCAGGAACGCTCCATGGCTCACTACAGATAGTGAAAAGCCGCACCCGTAAGTGGAGAACTGGAAAAGTATTTTAGGGAATGCTGATGCGTGTAATCAGCCAGCATTTAAGTTATTGGGATGTAGGCTGGACTGCCCTAACGGACCAGGACAGGTAAGACGGCGGGGGTTGGAAGATTCGTTATCTGGTAGGCTTCGCTTCCACGGTACAGCCCCAGTAGAGGATTGAGCAGTTTGGGTTTCGCCGTGAAGGGCATCCTGAAGGCAAGATAGATAACGAAAACTAAGCAGCAACTATCGTAGTGTATGTTGGTGGCTTTGGGCGTTCCAGCTCCCACATTTTTGAGTTCTGAATTTCTGTCTCGACGACCTACTACACTATCTATTTTACATGTATAATTTTCAGACGAAGTCGTGCCTTTGGCCCGAAAAAGCTCTGAAATTTTGTGGTTTTCAAAAGAACTTGAATGTGACGAGCAATTGCACAAAGGTCTCATTGGGGACCCGGGTGGTTGACCCGGGGGGTTTCGCAGTTCGAAGTTAGCTTGTACGGATACCCTTACAGGCAAACGATGTACTCGGGCATTTCCTCGCATCCGCAGCATCTGCCTAATGTACCACTGTACAACCAAGTGTACCAAGTTTGATCACTTCTTTTCAAAGGGGTTGCCAGTTCATATATCGTCACTCCAACGAATTGGTACTTCAACGCTTGGGTTTGACAAACCCACCGTGGTGACTCCACGTCCTCCTGCTCGTCGGATGAGGACCCCCCCCCCTCGGATTTTGTTTTAACTTGAGTTCTTTTGTAGTTAGTAGAACGATTTTCAACACTGGCTAATCAACGTAATTTCCTTCCTTCCAGCCACTGAAATGTGCGCTGATGCCCAGGCAGAATCTTTTATTTTTTAGATTGTAGTGTTGTGCTCGAAAAAACTTACAGGTGGCGATAAAGCAAGAAAACCCCGTGAAATCGAATATTTAGCGCTGCCAGGCTAACTGCTCAACCGAACTTGCAGGGTAACCCGATAAAGCCAGAAATCTATTTCAAGTTTGATTAGTCAAAACTGAGGTCTAAGAGATCTCTATCGCGTGTAGGAGTAGGATACACCAGGTGTTTGTCCTTTGCTTTTACAATGTCCGCCGGGGCTTCCTCTTGCACAAGAATCCGGGGGCGTACAGCGACAACGTAGGAACATTAAAATTATGTTTGATAAAACCTGGTGCAGCCGCACACATATTTTTGTCCAGGTCGCCTGAATATCTAACAACAACAAAAACTGTCAGCTTCGATTCGTCCAATTGTGTTATTGCCATTTATTAAGTATTAAACTGAACGTACCGCATTCATGTAGCATTAGAATGGTCTGGATTAATATCTGTAACAATGTACTTTGAACTTGTATTGACAAGAACAGGATAAAGTAGTAGATCATTAGCCTTTTCTCCGGAGAAGACATACCACCACGTGCAGCTCTTTTTGAGTCACCAATAAATGAATTCGTTCGCCATCATATAGGAAGCACCGCGTTGTCGGCGGATAGAGATTGCTTTGGTTAAAAATATGTTGAACGAAAACAAATCAAGCTTTACTCCCATCTTGGTTCGCACAACCTTAAAAACTTTCAGTAGCTTTTTTGCAAAGTTTTAGTGGAATGTTTTATATAATTCATCTAGACTCATTCCAGTGAGTGTGGGGATTCACACATTATCAGCCTGTCGACAATTTATGTCACGGCAAACCCAGGTGACCACACGATTTTCAGTTAATCTCTCTGAAAATCTATACACGCAGAAGAAAATTTGTGTCTGAAAGAGGAGGGTACAAGTTATGACTCATAACAGATCGAATCGATAATTTTAACGCTAAATGGAATGAGTCGGTACTATGTTGAGTGTTTTGAAGCTGCATGTAGTATAATACGACGCAGTGATGTAGTAATGGCACCAGCTGTGCCCTAGGTCAGCATCATACACTGTTCGTCGTAGTAGTCTCTGATGTTTGTGATGGAGCTCCACTTTTTCTGGTGGCATCGTGTGCATCTGGCATCAATCTATAAGGAAAAGAAGCTCCGAGGCGAATACGAATCCATCAAAACCTGTAAGAGTCATTCAGACCGGAATCGATCAAGTGTTGTCTGATGTAGTGTGAATGTTGTTCGATGACATCCGCTGGGGGGATAAGCTACAGATGTAGTTTGAATGTCGTTCGGCTTGAATGTCGGGAGAAAAGCGTTGAAACTTGTGCGAACGAACGTGAGCAAGCTAAAAAGGGAATTTTTCTAGGGCTCCGCGAAGGCTGGGATAGGAGGATTTTGGTATAAACCCTCTTTAGTTTCAGTGATTACTTTTCATATTAGCTACGGTCATCTCCTGCGCCTGCTTCGCAGCCGCAGCATCTGCCCGGAAATTTAACTTAAAACTGTAGATGCCAGATATCAACCGGCAATACTTTACAACATTAAACATGCGAACCTTGGCTGAGATCTGTTTGCTGCTTGTAGAAATTTTCGACTTCAAAATGCAAATGCTTACTTCGAGTGCTATTACAGTCCGCATCGATCGTTCTCTTTACTTTAATTCGTCTATCCGTACCCTGCTCAATGTATGTACTAATTCATACCAGTATCGTCGGTTACGCACCGGTTCGATCTGCCCACGCATATAAACGCCCAGTGTGGCACCGGAGTCGTACCGGTTTCAAGAAAATGTACCGGTTAGATGTCAAGACGGGTCATCTTTTGACTTGACGTACCACGGATATAATCCTATTTGGTCTGCGATAGCAGCACTAACGTTGCTTCCTATCCCAGTGAAAGGGAATTTAAGCGTTCCTAATAGAAAACAAACTAAATATCGTCCTAAAGTGCTTGCAGCACGTTGGTCGTGACTGCTATCGCAACAAGCAACGCCTTTAGACTGGATAGAGCGCACGAGCTATAATACCGTTATCACGCTTGAAGTCAGAGCACAATATTTGTTACTGGGAACTCGGAACTTGCGAGAACACTTGTACCATTGTAGTAATAGTGGTACTTGTCCGCACTGTGGACTAAATGCCGTTTTTGCTCTCCGTGCCGATAAAGCCGCCTTAGTCATCTAAACACGGGGAGCCGTCGCCCGAGCACGCCCGGGTAGTTAGTTCACAAACTTCAACGGGAAGGTTTTGGTGCCACGCTGCTTCATGTAATACCTCCATCAACCTTCTCACAGACTGCGCCGGTCACCATCACCGCTGGCCACTGGCCAGACCCCCTCTTCAGTGTCATAGGCATTAACGTTGAGTTAGGCCGGAGAGACGTACCCATGTAGCGCCCTGATCGCATGTAGCGGTGTCTTTATCTTACAGGTAGGCTGGGCACGCTGGGAAGGTCGACTGCTTGGTTTGTGGCCAAATGCTTACAATGCCCATCAAATGACCCAACATGCAGTATTTTTTATTGTATTTTAACAAAGTCGCGCCTCCGGCCCGAAGAAGCTCTGAATTTCAGGTTTTCAACAAAAATAAAGATTGGTGAAGCAAAAGAGGAAAGGGATGCACATTAGGTTGAAATGTTCTTCTCCTCGACACTTATTCAGAGTTATTCTCCAATTTTACAATCGCTGCAAGATGCACGCTCAGCTTCTCCACGAAATTCGGATTCTTCTCCATGACCTTGTCCAGCTTGATCACAATGTCTAAGCCGTGAACACGGCTGAAAGCCCTTGATGCCGGTACCAGGGATTTGAGCAGACCCCTGAGGATTACGACAGCTGAGAGCGTAAAAATGTTCTCCTTCTCGTCTCGTAGCTCTCTATCTTCGTTAACACTGCGAGTACGTGGTGGTTGCTTGTGTAGCTTATTCCTTAGCGACAATAACGGCATTGGCGCTGACAACAAGCACCGCCAGGAGCAGGTGAACTGTCTGCATGTTGGATTGTGAAAACCGGCGTATTTCCACGCTGAGAAGTGCTGGTTTTGAGCCGAATCCGAAATGGACTCGTCGTATGGCACCCCTCCGCTGGACAGTCTGCCTCCCCGTCAACCACTGCGGCAAGACAGAGGGTAAAAAACTGCGGTAACTTGCACAGCGTCGCTGGTGGTCACACTTTTATTCTCGTAGCTGCTGCATTTATACTTGCGCTTGTCCGCACCATTGACGTGTATTTCAATGCGTGAGATCACGGGCTGCTCCTGACCAAGACCACCACTAATCAGCCGCTCCGGTAGCTACGGGCCGTAGCCTACGGCCCGTTCAGTGTCGTATCTGATAGCCAACCGAGTACGCAGTGTTTGACTTACCGGATCGAGTGGTATAACTAGTTAGTTAGTACGGTAGGGGTCTGCTGCAATTGTACGCACTGGTATTAATCGCGTGTAGCGGCATCTCCATGTTGCAGGTAGATTGGACTGGGGCTTGGTGAGTGGGATGGCACGTTGCTTGCAATGCGAAATGGGAACTGAGTGCTTTTATAGCTGAAGTTATACACTGTCTATCAAATGACTCTGCGCGATTGATGTTTAGAGCTAAGATCATGCAACCACCCCGGTAATCTGTTTTTCTATAGGTAAATTCTGATCGGTAAACGCAAATTTTCGACTTGGGTCACTCGAATGTAGCTATTTGGGGTGCTCCACACAACCTGCCGCCACAGGTAACATTCACCTAAAATATCACCTTACGCGGGGTATGAGTATTCTTTTACTCCACTGTACTGCAGTTTGGCTTGCTATTTGCATGAAACCCCTCGTTTATCGATGAAATTCGATCAATCGACTTGGTCAGGAATGCACTAAGTCATTACCAGACCAGTGACTCCAATCGTCCCTTAACCCCACTTAGCCCAGTCCGTAGGACAAATGGAAGGACCAAAAGTTAGGCGCCTCGCTCCGCATAACTAGAAACAAATAGGATCGTGCGGCTACATGAGCACACTCCCCCGTCCTAGCTGTCTTGGTGGTCTTCTCGGTTTAGCGTCCTCCATTGTCCTTCTCGAGATAGAAGCCGTTGAAAACTTATCTCTTGTAACATCAAATTTTGCCGATTTGTCCTAGCCTAGGACAATTTTGACTTGATTTCAGTATGGTTTTAGCTGGAGCTATCTTTAGCGCCGATTTCCCTGCCAGATGCGCCTTATAAGACACACCTGAGGGGGTCAAAAACACCCTCATACAAATATCAAGTCATTTTGGTCCTTTTTCGGGCCCCGAAAACGGCCGGTGTGTGCCACACCAAAACACGATTTGGTCCTATCTCCTAGGACAAATCTAAGTGGGGTTAACTGAAATAAATTTCAGAGAATAGAATTATTTTAGTAAAAGTATATATCTATGATCACTACCTCAAATTAGTTTTTGACTTTCGGTTTGTCTGGGTTTACTACCGAGTCATAACCACAAGTAGCCTTTACTCCAGATATGTCTGGTCTTAGAACGCGATTGAGTCTATAGACTGCATCCAGATATCCTTTTAAGTTATCTTCAACGGGGTACTAAAGTATTACTGATATCGCTAATATTGTGTCTTTGTACTACCGAAGGTGCTAAGACAGGTATTAGCACGCTCTGGATCATGTGATTAGTTAGTTTATAGCCAATTACATGTTGTTTTGGGATACACTCAAAAGGATGCAGTGCATTCCGCAATCTGTCTCGAAAAATGGAAGTAGGGGAGGAGGAGAAAGTGACTTTCCGGTGCCAGTTGCTCAAGTCGAGGGACGGCTCTTTCGCCGTGGAGATCAAGAAGAGCGAGGAAGCGGACGAGTTGAAGACAGCGATCGGGGAATACCTGCACGTTACGTTCCCGCTCAACAAGCTGAAGCTGTGGTTCGCCACGACGACCAACAGCGCAGGGAAGACCGTTTGGCTACCTCATGACGATGAGGCCGCTGATCAATTGGATGACGGGGTGATCCACCCATATATCCAGACCTTGATCAGCAAGAGGCCCTTGAAGCCGTCCCTAACGATAGCAGAGTTGATGGAGAAAGACAACCTGGAAGACCCGCTTCGAAAGCAGATACACGTGCTCGTAGAGGCTCCTTCGGACACCTCTCTCCCAGCCACCGCAACACCAAGCAAAGTCGTCTGGACTGGACCCGAAGCGCGCCCTCAGCTGGTTGTTGACAGAGATGATAAACTGGTTCGTTTGCCGTGGTCCTGTCTCCGTGGAACAGGAATCGGCCGTGGTAATGAAACCGAGATTGTTCTGTATCGGCGAGCTCCGTTGAGGAAGCAGTGGCTTGAAATCTACAGATGCGCCATCCTAACGTACGCGCGTCTCTGGGTGGTGGGCCCTCCGGGTACGGGCAAGTCATGCGCAGCCCTCGCGTTTGCTTGCGTGCTCAATCCAGCCGAGTGGAACGTGGTTTGGCTTCACTACCGGCGATAACGTGATTTGTTCTATTGTGTTCGACTGATGGATGACAAGAAGACTACCTGTATCCTCAATGCGGCTCTAGTGGACGCGGAACTACAGCACATTCTGGATTCAGCGTCGCCGGGAATGGGCCGGAAAACTATCGTCTTCCTGGATGGGATCATCCCATCAAGATATGAACGAGCTAAAGCGGTTTCGTTTGCACCTCGTGGCACATGGCTGACGTCTTTAATCGTCGAGTCGTGTTCGTTTGCTCATCAATGGGAGCATCAGAAATTTACCACAAGGACGAGTCTGTCCCGATTCCGTCTACTTGCGGTGACCCCGATGATGAAGAGCTCTCGTTTAAGTTGTTAGAGGATGCTGAGAACGAAGATGCGGATACCGTTACGGCGAGTATGGAGGTACACGAGTCCCAGGTGATCTCCCAACCAGTGGATGACCAAATGCTGTTTAGTCTGGAGTCGTGGAGGTTTGAAGAGTATATCGAAGCAGTCCGTCATGGGGACTTTTTCCGTTCTGTCAAGAACGTATTCTCTCAAGTTGGCGCGCGAGAGGAGCCACTTTTGATTGAAGCCCCAAGTGATGAAGAACGCAAAGAAGATGAAGAACAAGTTGATGCCGAGACGAGCAAGAGAGCTGATCTGATGACCAAGTTGATTGAAGAGAAATATTTTGTAGCTGGTGGGAGTGCTCGCCTGATGTTTGACTACACGATGGAAGGTGCTATCGAATCTATTGATCTAGCCATGAGAAAGGTGCCCGATTTTAAGCGCTATCTCTTGGAGCTTACTGGAGATGGCTCACCCAGCGCAGTCAATCGGATACTGGCACGATACCGCGGTATTGATGGCTTTGAGGAAGTTCGTTTGGTGAGCAGCTACGTCGTGCGGAAGTTTGCGAAGAGCCTAGGACCTAAGCTTTTCCTGCGGTTCAAAGAGGTGTGCCAAGTAAACCCATCTGTCGATGGCTATCTTCTGGAGGGTTGGTTTTTTACAAGCCTCGGCCACAGCGATCTATCCATTTGGTATAACGAGGAGGACTTGAAAACGAAACAGCTATGGGAAAATGCAGAGGCAATTTACTGTGATCCAGATAAACAAACCTCACTCCGTTCTCTCAAACCGACGTGGTTGGTTCCGCTGAAGTGGAGGCAAGGTGGCTACGACGCAGTATTTGTTGACCCAGTGCAAAAGTTGGATCGATTTGTCCAACTGACACGTGGTCACAAATACTCCTATAAAACGGAGCCATTTGTGAGCAGCAGCACAGAGTTTTGCCAACATCGAAAAGGTTGAACTGTGCTATGTGGTCCCGATGGAAATCTTGAGCGAATTCAGTCTCCCAGTGAGCTCGCAAGATTTCGAGAGGGGTGTTGTTCGAGTGGCGTCCGGGGCGTGGACGCGTCAGAACCCTGATCCAGTATTTGCTGGATGTATCGGGAAGGTTTATCTCTGCGGTGTGGAGTATGAGATGGCCAATACCAATCACGCCGAAGGAGAGAGAGTTGGCATGAAGCGCTTGAGGAGTGGCTAATTGGAAATGATGCCCTTCAGCACGGCTCAGAGCACTTGTCTATATGAAAATTGGTAGCAATCTGCGATTCCTGATCCGTCAAAAGCTAGGTGGGCTGATTTTTTCATGTAATCAAGCTGTCGAGCAGACCGACCCATTTTTTCCTTTTTTTTAAATGAATGCTGTTGACCACGAAGTAACGTTAGTACTTCGAAGTATTGAACTTATTGCGGAATCAGCTTGCGGACGGCGGCAATCACCTTCGCTGGCGCCAATTTGTCTAGCGGAAGAGCCACAAATGATGACAGAAACACCTTGGTCAACGCGGTCTTCTTGGTTGGGGATTGCCCATTCTCAGGTAGCGAGGCGTCTGCAGCAGACCTTTTGGAGGACGTCCCCTGGCTTCCTACAGCACGCTCGAAGCCCTCAAGTTCTTGGCTCTTTCGGCGAGCACACTCAATTACGGACGCAGGAAAGCCCGCCATGGACGCAACGTGGACACCAAAACTTTCCATACAAGGTCCATCGCGCACTTGGTACACCATCGTGATCTCGCGATCGCTGGCCACTGCTGTTACGTGTTTGTTGGCAAAACCCTGCGGGTGCTCCTGCTTCAACGCTGTCAGCTCGTGGAAGTGCGTTGCGAACAAGCACATGGAGCGCGCCTTCGAGAGTAGGTACTCCGAGATAGCCCAAGCCAGCCCAAATCCATCGTACGTGGAGGTGCCACGACCCAGTTCATCAATAATCACCAACGAGCGCTCTGTGGCCTTGTGCAGAATAGCAGACGCCTCCAGCATTTCCAGCATGAAAGTTGAAACACCCCGCTGTTGCAGATCTCCAGCACCAACACGCACCAACAGTTTGTCAAACACGGGCAACCGCGCGACTTCTGCAGGCACAAAGCTGCCGATCTGCGCCATCACTGCAATGGTGCCCAACTGACGGATGTAAGTACTCTTGCCACCCATGTTAGGCCCCGTGACTAGCTGAAATCGTGACTTTTCACGCTCGAAGTTGTAGTCATTCGGAATAAAGTCAACGCTGTCCTGAAGCTCCACGCACGGGTGGCGGGCGCTTGTCAGCACGATGCAATCGCCATCTTGCTCTAGAGTAGGGCGACAGTATCCTGATCCAGCATGGCACGCAGCATGAGCGAAACCGAGGAGGACGTCCAGCTCTGCCAGAGTGGACGTTGCAGCCTCGAGCACAGGTACGTATGTGCTGGCAACGTCAATTGCAGCATTCAGCACGTGGGCTTGTCGCTCTTCGTACTCACCACGCACACGACGGTAGTCGGCGGCCAGCGCCTTCAACTTCGTCGTCGTAAATTGCACCCCGCTCACAAGCACCTGGCAGATGTGCACGTACGGCAACTTGGACAATCGAGACTCCTCCTTTTTGTTCACAACACGGAACGCGAACCCGCGCACTTTGTCCTTCTCGCACTTGATCTCACCGCCGATCGTGTCAAGTGCGTTGCGGTGCTCATCTTCAATGTCCGCAAGGATTCCGTCCCATTCTTCACGCAGAGCTTGAAGATCCTTGTCATGCTTCGCATTCACCACGAGATTCGGGCGGCTGTCCAGGTCAACAACCTCCTTCACCAGCTCCGTATATCCTTGCAAGTCGGCAAGGACTTTTTCCAGTGGGGCTGCGAACTTCTCCTTCACCAGACTCGCCAGCGCTTCGTCTCCACCTGCAGTCGTCTCCTTCAACAGCTTCTGCACCCGAGGGATAGCGCCAACGGCAGCGTCGTACACACTAACCAAGTCCGTGATCTTAGCGTGCTTCTTGCGCTCCAGACTGACCGCCAGTCGTCCCAAGTCCGGCAGCGCTTTCATGCACTCGTCCAGCAGCTCCATCCTCAGTGACGAATCGTCCACAAAGAGCTGCACGAGACTCTGCCTCGTCTCGATCTGGTTGACGTCCAGCAGAGGCTGGCGGATCCAGCGTTCCAGCAGACGGCGGCCCATGGGCGTCTTGCCTCGGTTCAAGATCTCCAGCACGCTGCCGCCGAACCTGGTCGCGCCAGCGGTGGTGGCGCTCGGCTCCGGCAGCAAGTTGAGCGACCAGACGGCGGCGCTGTCGAGCTGCATGGCCGACGAGAGGTTGCCCTCTTGCAGCGTGTAGCAGCCGAAGGCGTCGGCGTCGGCCATGACGCCCAGCGCGTCGATCAGGCAGGCCAGACTCCCGGCCGCCAGCTTGGACGCCAGCACGTCCTTGTACTCGGCCATGGTGCTGGCGCCCAGCAGCCTCGCCACGTTGGTCTCGACGCCGCTGACGTCCTGGAACAGCTGCTTCTTCATGTAGACGCAGGCCACCTCGTGGGTCTGCAGCAGCGCGTGCAGCTTCTTGCTGTCCCCCACGGCCTGCGACTGCTCCAGCTCCGCCGACAGGTAGCACGTGGAGGGCGCCAGCTGCACCAGCAGCGACTCGAGGTTGGCCAGCTCGCTCGAGTCCGAGAAGCTGAAGAGCAGCAGCTCCCACTGCCTGGTGTCTTCGCCGGCGCAGCCCTTGACGCACGACGCGCGCGCGCGCGGCCGGCGCACGGCCACGCCCACCTGCTTCAGGTGCTTCTCGTTGCGGATCTGAAGCGCCACCTCCGCCTGCGCCTCCTCCAGCGCCTCGACGGGGGCCGAGTCGTCGTCTTCGCGCTCGCGGTCCATGGCTGTGGTGGGCAAATTCAAGAGTGATGGTCGTTCCTGCGCGCCAAAAATGCGGACCCGGTTCCCGCGCTTTCCGGTGTCCGGATGGAAGAGACCCATTCGGGCGGTTAGGAATACAAACGTCAAGTGAGTTGAGGTTGGACCCTCTTTCGCCCGGACACTTTCGAATTTGCAGTAATGGTGACGGACTGGAGGGCGGAGTACGCGAAGGCGGCGGCGCTGCAGGCGGACGAAGGCGCCTCTGCAGCTGCTTCCTCAGCGCAGCAGCAGCAGCAGAAGACAGCAGAGAACGGCGTGCTGGCGTTCGTGGACCTGTTGCTGACTGAAGAAGGCGGCGAGTGGTGGACCAAGCTCCAGCGTCAGGCCAAACGCGCCGCCAAGCAGAGTGATGGTCTAGAGGTTGAACCGCTGCAGGAGGAGGACAAGAAGCAACTCACGGCGCTGAAGAAGCGGCTGACGAAGGTGGGCAGTGAGCTGCTGGTGAAGGTGCCGGAGCTGAACGCGTCCAAGGACGCGCCGCGCTCAGCCAAAGTGCGCGTGCTGCAATTGCAGCTCGTGTGCCGCATGCTGTGCTACGGCACGCTGACTAAGAAGAAGAAGCAGGAGAAGAAGACGATGAAGAAGGAGATCAGAGGACTGCTGGATCGTGTGGCGCTGCTGTTGGATGCGGCTAACCCGCCGTCGCTGGCGGATGAAGACGCGGATGAGCGCTCGCCGTTCCAGGAGTTCCTGCAGCAGCAATTGGCCCCCAGATTGAAGCTGCTGCTGCCGGAGCTGATGCAGTACTTGTTGAAGGTTTACGAGCTGGAAGAGGAGGAAGAGGTCAAGGATGACCAGGAGACGGATGCTGCCAGTGCCATGCTCCCTCCTGTAAGTTCTTGTGACGTCCTTTATTCGAGCGGTGCTGTGGTGCTGATACAGTGGTGATTTTTGCTTTTGGTGATCTACACAGTTAATGCCAGTGGTTAAACCGCCGCAGCCTCCTATCGAGATACCGGCGTCTGGTACTAGTATCCTGTCGGCTTTGCGTCAAGAGCGACCTGCGAAGCGGCCACTCCCGGATGCGACTGGGCTGTTCAAGGAAGTCCAGCTGCCTCAGCAATTGCAGCGACAACAATCGCAGTCACGGCCGCGGAAATCCAGACGAGTGTCTAGAAGTCACAGCAGCGCAAGCAAGAGCAGCAGTGACAAGAAAACTAGAAGCGACAAAAGCGGCCAGGGCTCGCTGCTTCTTGCAACAGCTAGTGCGAAGCCGACACACAAGCCAAGGGCGCTAGATTTTGCCGGCGCGGCATCCCTCGAAAAGGCTCGTCTAGCTTTGAGCGCTCGGAAGCCTGGCGATTCCGACTTGCTGCGTCGTGCCGCAATAACTTCAAGCGCAAAGGGACCCACGGCGCCTTTACTCCACCGTGCCATATCGGAGCGCTCCCACTTCATCGGAAGCCAAGCTGGAGTAAGGTCGTCGCCAGGTGCTGCTGCACAAAGTACAGGGACAGCTGCCGCAGGCAGAACCCAGTCTCCCCCACTGCGTCGTGCTGCGACCACTTCGTCTGTGGTGATGCGTACGCCTGATAGACCAAAGCGATCGGCTGCACGAACCACGAGGCGGGTCTTGGTTGAAGCCTCGCCTCCTCTCCGCAGACCGAGTGGATCTGGAGCCGCGGCACCTCGACTCCTTCAGCCCAAGGCTTCACGAACAGGATCCACCCCTCCACCTCTTTTCCGGTGAGCTCTAGACTGTTCAAAATGCAAGTAATAGACTAGCAAAATATCGTATCAAATCTACATCGCCCATTCACCACTAGCTGTCGCTGTCACTGTCACTGTCGCTACCATAGGCCATCAACCCAAGCGCAGCAGTATTTGGCTTTGCTTTCTTCTCGACTGGCGCATCGCTCGAATCCTTTGCGTCGGTCTTTTGCTTCTTCTTCACCGGTTCCCCCTTCACCGTATCGTGTGGCTCGACACTCTTCGAAGTGGCCTTACGGGGTTTGTCCTTTTCAGCCTTTCGCTTGGCCCGCACCACCACCACTGGAGCCTTCTTCTTCGCCGCAGTCTTGAAATCATTCTTAGCCGGGAACTTCTGCAATTGCTGAGCTGTAAGCGCTGCACCACCACCAGCTTTTGGGGCACCACGTGCGACCACTACCATCGACAGAATTCGTCAGTTGCCACTCCAACACAAAACATGATACGGGTCAGCGCCATAGGCAGCCCTTACAGAATTGGGCGAGGTCCTCTTCGTGCTGTGCTTGGCGCTTCCGCTCCGAGTCCTCCTTCATGCTCTCAAGGTCCTTAATGTACTCGAACTCCTCCTCGTCCAGTCCTTTAGGAGGCGCTGTATACATGTGCAATGTGCGTCCACGGTCAGATTAAAGAATGGCACACTTCATTTGCTGTGGGGCTACGCACCGAACGGGTTGTTCTTCTCCTTCCATCCGCTGTCCTTCTGCTCCCGACGCTCTTGTAGCTGCTCGTACAGAGGCTTGTAGCCAGCTGCGTCCTCTGCTCGTGGGGCCGGCGCCTCCGTCACGCGCTTCTCCTCCACGTTGTCGCCGAAGAGCTGCGAACCACAGATCACATGGACACCGCGTATCGTTAATAAGCGCTAACCAAGAGAGATATTAGTGACGGAGAAGGCTAGGACCTACCCCATCCGAGGACGTGAGCACTGAGGTGGACACGAAGCCTGCTAGCGACGCTTTTGGGACGCCGGAACCGGTACCTCGAGCCTCCATCAAGCTATCGACGCGAGCAAAATAATTACAGTCACACCTCTATAAATGACACCCAGTTCGCTCGGTCTAATACGCTGTTTCAGTTAAAGAATTGATCAGATAAAGAAATGGCTACACTTCTAATGGCTACATTTTTATATGTTCGGTGCACAATACAAGGGCTTTCTTTACCTGGTACCCCTCCAGCATTTTCGTACTCTTGTTTTGTTTCGTCTTCACACAGACAGAACTTAACCAATAACGGTAGGCGCGGTATTGTCTGTTCCTACCCTTCTTCTCATTGGTATTAGCAGAATCGTATCCCCTCAGGTTGTACGTGAGTTTCAATACAGTGAGGTTATGGGAATATTTGTTGTCCCGATATCTTGCCACCATGCCTGCAGTTTTATCTTTTGCTTGGTATCTACTGCATAGCCCCTAGTTGTCTCGACATCATAATATTTTAGTATTTCTCTCTTCGCTCGATTGGTTGTGGCGGGAGTAGTGGTAGCAATGGCGTACGTGGGAGGAGGCAGGCAAATGATTGAGAAAAATATATGAGTTTGGATCAACAGGATGAACTCTCACTTCCGACACCTGTCAAATCTAGTATCCTTAACAATTTGATATCATCTTTAGCAGGGTTCACAATAAATCGACGCCAAGCATTGAGCGGCTCTCAATCAACCGCAAGCCGCCGCCGTCGCGCGCGAAGCTTGCGAGGCTTACGAAGATTCTGAGTGCAGCACAAGGGACGCGGAAACGTGTCTCTTGGGTGCGGAGGTATAGGGGGATGGGGGTGCTGGCAGGTAGGCATCGTCTTCGCCGCAAGAACGGATAGAAGGGCTTTAGGTAGTAGGCAGAGGAGCAGTTAGCCCGCGCCGTGGGCCCCTCGGCCTAGCGGCGAGTAGTGGGGTGAAGTGAGAACATAGGAGTAGAAACGACAGAGGAAGAACTCGTAGATGGAGCCGTGAGAAAGCGCTGGCGTAGATAGTAAACCAGCGTCTATAGCTTCCTACTAGTGCTGCAGCGCAGATAGCATTCAGCGAGTGTGGATGTGGTCAACCACAACAGCTCACTCACAACTTCGTCTCATAGTTAATTTATCGCTTGCGCTATCATTTTATTAGGGTGCTATGGCCGCTGGGGCTCACACCGATGAGCCGGTGATCAACGAACGGAGCGGCGACGTTGGTCGCCACGCCAACTTGGTGCTGGTGCGCTCATACATTAGAGAACTCTAAAGTTCTCTATTGTAATACCTGCTAACTATTTATGTGTGCATGAAAAATACACACCAGCTGGTGTCGGAAGTGGCAGTACTACCTGTATTACTATGGCGTCCATTTAAAGGGTTGAGGCGCCAACAATGGCAACCATTTAGAGAATAAAGAGGTTTTTGATCAGTTGTAGAACACCTATAGTGAAATCCATATAATCCCGTTTGCAGTCGAGGAATCCTAACCAGATAGGGAACACATAGTCAGTTAGAGGGGTTCATTTAGGGAGGTGTCACTGTATAGGTTTTGTAGGATTGGGTACGCTTCAAAATAAATAATTATTATACAATATTATTGTATAATATTTATTTATTTTGAAGCGTTTCCCAATCCTACAAAACCCAAAGACAATATATTATTGTGAAAACCGATTAGAATGTCTTTTTGGATTGTTAATCCGCCGATTTAGTGACCTACGACCCCCCATTTGTTAAATCCGACCTCCTAATTAGACTGGGATACCTCGATTTATACTCAAGATTATTATTAACTAGGACGACTTACAGAGTCAGAGCATATGAGTCGGATTTACATTTGGTAATCGACCGATTAAGCCAGGGCCGGCCGATTTGCTTGGTATTCAGATGGAATGTCCGATGTGCAACCGGCATTCGCTCCTTGTAGGCTAAATCAGCCGCCACGCAACAATCGTTGCAGTCGCTCTTGGCTAGGTAGTCAAGGCTACAACACTAACATCAGAACTAGGCAGGAAAAACCGCACGCTATAATACATGTAACTGAGATATGCAGACGACGCGTTTAAGCGCGGTGTTGCCGCTGCACTTGGCGAGTCTCGGGCCGAGGTAAATGCATGTTGATCGAAATTGCTAGGCTGCACATAATTACGAGACCGATTACCGATTTATACTCCGATTATAATTGAGACATCCCCGATTTATTAGTCTTCAAATCCTCTATGAGCGATGTTTAACCGGCTAATTCAGCAGGACAAACTAATCGGTTTTCACAATATATTGTCCGATTTAAATATACATCCACAATAATAGCTCATCAACGACTTCATACACAGCCCCAAAAAACAGAAAGTAGTAACAAGGATGAACCGCACTCACAGTTTTTTATCACTTGCTAGGCAAGAGGTGAAAGCGTGGGCAATTGCATAGCCCTCGTTTTATTTGACGCGACAATATACTAGCCGAAGAACTCAATTTTACCGCGCCGTCGGTGAGTAAACAGCAGACCGTCGGCTACGGCAAAAACGTCGGGAAGTACAGGGTACTTGGCGGATATAACACTTTGGAAGCTGATTACTTCACTCCTCGTTGGAACCCGTACACCAGCATACTCGTCGTTGGCTAGTACTTTTCGGAGAATTCTTCTACTGAATCGTAGGAAAAGAGAGCAAACCGTGTTTGTGATGCCGAAAAGCATACACAAAACGTATTCAGAGCCGCGTGTCCGGGTCCAGGCCAATGCCAAAGCTAGACTCATCGCTGCGGTCGTGCTGCGTGATCTCCCGCCAACGTTGATTTCGCGCTGAAGTTGACGGATGCAACCGTCAGTTGAATATGGGGAGTATGAGTCGTAGAGAGGAGCATATCGGGTGAGCAGGTAGGCAAAAGTTGTATGGTCGAACCCCGTTAACGTGATCAAGGATTGGTTGCTGCCGGAGTTGAACAAGACGACGAACGGGGACATCGATGGCGAGACGAGAGCTTGTCGAGTTACGCGTCGGTCGCGCCGACGACGCACTTCGGCATCGAGTCGTAGTTGGAATGCTGTGCGTGGCTTACGATCACGGCGTCGGCGTTGCTTGCGACGGTACCAGAAGGCGAGTAGAGCTGCGTGGTGCATGGTGAGGGGCGATGAAAGTGCAATGACATGGCACAGCAAGACGTGTGAAGCTTACAGGCTGCGGTGTAGACGAACTCTGCGGGTAAAGTTCACTTGAAGTTGATTTGACCCTCTGTTTTGTTTGGTCCATGGGTTTCTGGATACAAAGGTAAAAGCTCAACCCCCTGGTGATATGATGCTTTGATATTTTGGTGTTTCAGGAGCGACCCATCTGGGATGCGAGGTCGGAAATAGTACAAGGGCGTTTGGTAGGTGAACACGCGAGTGTATTGATCGTTATGTGGTGGAAGCGAGCGCTCACCGCACCTATCCGAGCGCACGCCTTTAGTGATGCTTCCACCAGTAAGCGGAGAAGTCGAGGTACTGTTGGTATTTCGGGTCCCTGTAAGCTCCTTGTCCAAGACCCCCCCCCCCCCCCCCCCCCCCGCTTCTTGGGGTCCATGCCTTTTTTCAGCCACTATCAAAACTTGAGATTTTCAATGAGTCCTCTTTCCTCACTTTCTTCTTCACTCTGCGAGTCATGAGCCCTCAGGGAACGCTTAGGCGCAGCATCGGCTTGAATAATGACGAGCGAGCGGTTAGGAACCGTATTGGAGAGTGTCGCCTGCTCCAAGTCAGTAGCCGAGACGCCGGTACTACTTCCAAGGAGTGCCGCCGCGATGACGATAACGAAGTAGTGCAGACGCATTGAGCGTTTCTCGGGGAGCTTGGGTGCTAGTGAACGAAAAGCGAAGTGAGCTCTGAGCAGCAACGTAAAAAATCTACGTACTGCAAAGTTAACACGTAGAAGGGATCCCACTTGCTTGCCGTGATGCAAATGGCTTGGGTGATGATGTGGACGGCGACCGTGTTTGCGCTTTGACCAATCGCATGATGAGAGACAGTCGGAGTATTTTGATTCTGGCTGCGACTGCACAAGAGGTGCCTGTTGTTCGCCAAAGGAAACAAAAAATAAAAGTCTACGCCAAAATCCTCCTATCCCAGCCTTCGCGGAGCCCTAGCTACAGTGCTTACGGTAGTTAGTCTGACCTCCAAATTTGCGTAAAAAGTGCAATTTTCATACTTTGAAGGCTAGGCACGAAGTCAATTTTTATCCAATCAACACCACAGACCCCTGTAATAGACGTTTCTCATTGAGAAGAATTCGTTGAAAATGATAGTTTTTCGTCAAATAGCGTGTAACATAGATACCCTAACCCTCCCATCAGGTCAGACTAATTACCGTAGGTACTGTAGTGTTTTGGGGTAAAATAAGAGAGATTTGAAAATCCGAGAGGTTTTGATATCAACAGAAATCCGGACAGAAGCGATAGCATTTTGCTCGCAAAGTCCCAGATGGCTGGCAAATCAAACAACTCCATTCGGGACGTCCAACCAAACGAGAGCAAAACCGAACGAGCGAACCGAAGAAGTCCGATTTTAGGGGGGGCATAGGGTTAACTATCCACCACTTCGTTTGCCTAGCAAGTGATGCACAACACTCGCTTCCCCCCCCCCCCTGCACTGCGCTCACTTCTCAATTTGACCGCAAGCCTTCAAACACCTACGCTTCACCAGTCAATGAAGTTGAGTTTGCACGTTGTGCTGCTATGGCTGGCAGTCGTAACGCTTGTCTTGCGTGCTTAAGCTTTGGCAATGGTGCGCGCCGAGCAATCCAATCCAGTCACGGCTGATCAGCTAGTATTCGCTGCTGGTAAAAATGTGGATTACACGACAAGAGCTTTAAGAGCCAGCGATTCGACGGACGAAGAGAGATGTGATGTTTCTGGACTTTCGAAAGTCGCGGGCTTCTTGTTGAAGGCCGGTCCTTCTGCCGAAAACCTTGCGAACAAGCTGTGGCTAAGTGGTCGGACGGACCCGATGAAGGTTTTCAAAATCTTACGTCTAAGACAAGCTGGGGTGAAGCTTGACGACAACCCGAGGGTTGTAATGGGCCCCATTTAAATAAGTAGGTAGATTGACAGTACATAAAGTAGTTAAGTCAGTACACGGCTAGTGTATACTGACGGTTATCATGATTGGCTGAATTGGGGGAGCCAGACCCCATTTCAGCCAATCAGGCGTTGACCTGCATTTGAGTGGCTCACGTGAGACCAGGGGTAGCCGTCCTGGTCCTTACATAAAACAGATTTGATTTTTCCCAAGACTGACTGCTTGGTCTCATTAAATCCGAGTCTAAACTAAGCTTCCTCACCGCTATGTGTAAGCTAGTGACGGGCACACACCTGGCCCGTTAAACCTGGTAGCACTTAGTAGTCCTTCCAACGACCAAGACCAAGATGAGCCAAGTCCTGACGTCCGGACCTTCAGGGGCAACCCTGGAGTACGGTGCCTTCCCCCAGCTCACGCGCATTGAGTGGGAAGCTCTCCGTCGCCTCGAGGTGGTGTCCGGAGAGACTGTTGTCACTTTGCTGTTGAGCTCAGCGATACCAGAACAACAGCGCCAAGTTGCCCAAGAATTCATGGAACGCGAGCTCGCCGACGCGAATCGGCGGGTCACAACTCCCTCGCGCTCCTCCAGGAACGACGTCGTCAAACCGGAGACGGCCACCTACTCTGGCGTGGGCGACGATCGGCTTCCACTGAACCGCTGGTTCCGTGAGATCGACATCGCTATCGCCTCGCGCATGATCGAAGCGCCGGCGGTCTAGGTCAACTTCCTACTCTCCCGGCTGTCCGGGAAGGCGAAGAAGTGGGCCCTCGGCAAGCTCGTCGTCGACCAGCACTCGTTTCCTACTCTGGAGGCACTCCAGGGTGACCTCCAGCTCGCGTTATAGCCGACCCAAGACGAGTCGCGCGTTCGCGCGGAGTTCTTTGCCCTCAAGCAAGGCCAGATGTCCATGCGCGACTACGTCCAGAAGACACGACACCTTGCGTCGTGCATTGTCATCCACCCCATTGACAAGGCACATCAGGTGCATGTCTTTGTGTTCGGGATGCGCGAAAGCATGACGCGGTACTGTCTCACGAGAGCCGAACCCTCCTCGCTCGAGGAGGCATTCGCCTTCGCGCTCCGCGAGGACTACGTGGTTGCGGTATCGTACGCGCGCGCTATGCCCGAAGTTTCTCGGGTGTCCGCGCCCGAGCCCATGGAGATCGACGCGATTGAGGCGTCGGGTGATCGACGGCGCTCGGCTTATGGTGGGGGAGGAGGTCGGAGCGCTCGTCCTCTGACCTGCATCCGCTGCCGGAAGATCGGACATCGCACAGCAGAGTGCCGCGCGCCAGCTCCTGTTCTCGCGCTCGTCGATACCGACGCCAGCCCGGCCGCTCAACCAAAAAACGGTCGGGGTCAGTAGGTGCGGGGCGCCCTACTGGTTGGAACGAAGGTCCGGGCCCTCCGGTGGCAACCCGGCCTTCTAGCCTTCTTGTGCTCTATGCACGTTTTAATACCACCACTAGGAGTGGCGACTCGAGGCTGATCATCGTCAGCCTCCATGTCGCCGGTGCCCGACGGCCACTGCGCGCACTCCTTGACTCAGCAGCGACGAACAACTTCTTTCGCGCGTCGTGTCTGTCGGTGCTCCCTGCGAGCGTTCGCGTCCGGAAGGGTCCGGGCGAGGTGGAGGTCAAGCTTGCGGATGGCAAGGCCCATCGCGTCGCTCGGCGCGAGGTGTCGCTGCCGTACACGTTCGACGGCTTCCGCAGCAAGGATGACTTCCTGGTGATTGAGATGAATTACGCATTCGACTGCATTCTGGGTATCCCGTGGCTTGCACGGTATCAGCCAGAGATTGACTGGCTGGCTCGGTCGGTCAAGCGTCGACGCAGCTTCGGCGTACGTGAAGTGTTCACGCACCTCTTGATGGCTCCAAGATACTGGCCTCACGTTACCGTCGTGGAGAAGACAGCCACGGCACAAGTTGTGCACAGAGCGAGCAATGACCCTCTCTGCATGGCCTGTGCCGTGCTGTTGAATGACGGATGACATTGCGTGGTCGCAATGACGGACGCGTGGTCGAGCGAGGTGCGCTCCCACACAATGAGAACAAGTTGACGGTCGAGCATGGGTTCCCGTCAAGCTACAGGTCGGCGGTCGAGCATGGGTTCCCGTTGAGCAGCGAGTCGACGGTCGAGCATGGGTTCCCGTCGAGCAAGATGTTGACGGTTGAGCGTGGGTTCCCGTCGCACAATGAGACGTCGGTCGAGCGTGGGTTCCCGGCACAAGTTGAGCAGGCGGTCGAGCATGAGTCGCGCCTGCACAAGGATGTCGCGGCTGAGAGCGTGGTGCAGCCGCGTACCGCCGGTGTGATTGAGCGTGGGCTCTCACACCTAGAGGAAGTTGAATCATCGTCGAGCGAGAGCGATGCGTCTTCTTCGAGCACCCGCTCGAAGCGAAAGAAGGCCAAGCGACGCCGCCTGAAGCCCCGTCGAGAACCATCAGCGACTGAGAACCCACCGAAGGAGTCGGTGTGCGCTCTCGAGTACGCGGAGGGCGCTCCACGACGATCGCGCTTCATCGAAGTCGCGAGTCCGCCTCGCGATGCCAACACAATCACGCGTCTCCCAGGACTCTCCTGGAAGAACTTCCTGCGAGACCTGAAGGCAGGCGAGATCGAGCAAGTGTGACTGATCACCGAGGCGGTCCCGGTGGATACGCTGCACGCGGTCAAGGTCGAGGATGCGCCGTCGAGGCCCAAGCACGCCGAGCCCAAGTCAGAGCGCGAGGATCGCTTCGCGACGCAGTCCTGGGAAGCTCTGCGTGAGTCCGGTAGCCCCGTGTACGAAACTGCCCGCGAGTACGCGGACATCTTCCCCGACAAGATCCCCGCTGAGCTCCCGGTGGAACGAGGCGTGCGCCACGAGATCGACCTCGCGCCTGGGACGAAGTACTGCGTGACGCAGCAGTGGCCACTTCCACGTGACCAGGTGAAGGCCATCGACGACTTCTTCGAGAGCCGCCGCCGGGCAGGTCACGTGCGCGAAAGCATCTCGCCACACTCCAGCCCGACCTTTTGCGTCAAGAAGGCAACGGGCGGGTGGCGCATTGTTCACGCGTTCAACAAGTTGAACGATGCCACCATCCCCGCGCAGACGCCAATCCCGCGCAAGGACATGGTGCTGGACTCTATGGCGGGAAGCGTGATCTACAGCGCCATCGATCTGACCGATGGGTTCTACCAGATACTCATGCGAGGGTGTGACATACCTTTCACAGCGGTAAGCACTCCGAGCGGCATACTCTGGGAGTGGCTGGTGATGCCCCAAGGTCTGAAGAACGCGCCGGCCACGTTGAACCGCATGGTCTCCCATGTGCTGCACCCGCTCCGTGACTTCGCACCGAGCTACTTCGATGATATCTTCGTGCACAGTCGCGCCGAAGGTGACCTCAGCGCTGTCGAAGTCCACCTGAAGCACCTGCGGCAAGTCTTCCAGGTGATGAGGGAGAACAAGCTCTACGCCAACTTGAAGAAGTGCGTGTTTTGTGCACCGGAGATACCGGTGTTGGGCTGCTACGCGAGCAAGGACGGAGTCCGCGCCGACCCCGAGAAGGGTTGAGTCAATCTGCTCTTGGCCGACCCCCACGAGTCCCACTGAGCTTCGTCAGTGGCTGGGCATGGCGAACTACTTGCACAAGTACACCAAGGACTACGCGAAGTTAAGCCAGCCACTGTCGTCGCTGCTGAGGAAGAACACCACGTGGTCGTGGCGAGAAGAGCACCAAGCCGCATTTGACTCGGTGAAGAGGAGTCTGTCATCTGCCCCTGTTTTGATGCTCGCGGACGATTCGAAGCCATTCCACGTCGTCTGTGACGCGAGCGACTTTGCCATCGGGTGTGCCCTGATGCAGTTCGACGGCGAGGGTCGTGAGCGGGTGATCAGCTACCAGTCCCGCCAGCTCAAGCCGGCGGAGAGGAACTACCCAATGCACGACAAGGAGCTCCTCGCCATGCGCTACGCATTGGTCAAGTTCAGGGTCTACCTGCTCGGAGAGCAGACGTTTGCGGTCTACACCGACCATGCATCGCTGCGGACTGCGATGAAATCCTCGCATCAGTCCCAGCGCATGGCCCGCTGGCTGTCTTGCTTCTCCAAGTACAACTTCGTGGTGCACTACTAGCCTGGCAAGAACAATATCCTCGCCGACGCGCTATCTCGGCGTCCAGACTACGACCCACGTGAAGGCCTCGAGCGCCAGGCAGCTGAAGAAGATGATGAAGACGCGTGTGCGACGTGTGTGACGTCGGGGTTGAACCTGACGAGCGTCGCCCCCAAGATGCCGCTTCGGGACGAGATCGCCGCAGCGTACGAGCGTGACGCGCAGTACGCCAGCATCCTGGCCCACCTCCGCTCTCCAAGCGAGGCGACATTAAAGGCTCTGTCGCGCTCGACCCGCAGCCACGTCGAGCGATATCGGCTTGATGGCTTCCTGCTGATGTACACCATCGACCAGTTCGATGCTCCGAGAGTGGTGGTGCCGAATGACGAAGACCTTCGCGCCCGAATCATCCATGAGTACCACGATGCTCCGATCGGGGGTCACTTAGGACGCGAAAAGACCTTCGCGGCGGTGGCGCGAGACTTCTTCTGGCCCCACTTGTACAAGTGGGTGCACACTTGCGAGATCTGCCAGCGAGTAAAACCCTCGCCGTCGTCACGGGCTCCGCTGCGTCCCCTTCCGGTCCCCACGGAAGCCTGGCGCTCCGTCTCGATGGACTTCGTCTTCGGTCTTCCAGCCGACTCGAACGGGCGCACGGGGGTCCTCGTTTTCGTCGACAGGTTCAGCAAGATGGTGCATCTCGTTCCCGTGGCTGCCACGGTTACTGCTGAAGAGTCCGCACCCCACTTCGTCGACGCCGTCTTCCGCCTTCATGGTCTGCCCGATTCCATCGTCTCGGATCGGGATCCGAGGTTCACGTCCGCGTTTTGGACGGAGCTGTTCAAGTTGCTTGGAACGAAGCTGGCGATGTCCACCGCGACTCACCCGGAGGCGGATGGACAAACCGAACGCGTCAACCGCGTCGTCGAAGAAGTGCTCCGCAGCTACGCTACGTCGTTCCCGAGCTGGAGCGCTTTCCTGCCCCTGTCCGAGTTCGCTCTGAACAACGCCGAGCACTCGTCGACGGGCATGACTCCGTTCTTCGTGAACTCCGCTCGCCACCCGCGCGTACCCGCCATGCTTGCCGTAGGCCAACCCACGGAGGCTCGTGCCTCTACGCTTGGTGGGGGAGGAGCTACCGCGGAAGACTCACCGCCGACCGAGACGCCGGCGGAGCCGTCGCCACGCTTCCCAGTGACCGAATCAAGCGCAAATGCAGTGACACGATCCCAAATGAAGAAGGCCCTTGCCGCACCGCATCGTGTGGTGACACCGCTCGCAAACTGGACAGAGCGAACTCAGATCGACCCCGCTGGCGCTCCGGTGACGATGCAGCAACCAGCTACTACCGCCAACTATGCACCGAAGTCCTCGGCGAGTCCCACGGATCGCTTGGCGGTTTCCGAGTTTGTGCAGCAGCGTCAAGCAATCACACGTTTCGTGCAAGACGCACTGCAAGCCGCAGTGGACCGGCAGAAGGAGAATGCAGACAAGGGTGGACGAAAGAACAAGACTTCATTTCGCACGGGTGACCGTGTGTTACTGTCTACCGAAGGCATCCGCTCCTCCGCCGTGACCAACCTCGGTGCCAACAAGCTCGCGCCGTGCTTCATCGGCCCGTTCAAGGTGATCAAGGTCCTCGGCGACGCGTACACACTGGACATCCCGTCGTCGCTGCGTCTTCATCCGACTTTCTACGTCGGGCGCCTCAAGCGATATCATCCTGCCGATATTCCGACCTCTGATCACCAGGATTCACTGGCGGGTAATGTACCCGAGGCTACTCGCGACGCCAACACCCATCACCCAAGCCTGTACCGTCGGGTTGGTCCTCCTCCGACTGTCGACTCGGCGGGTGAAGCGCGATGGATTGTGGGCCGCATCTTTCACCACGAGGCCCATATCGTGCAAACGGGCGTGGGCGCAATCCAGTCCGATCTCCTCGTGCGATCCCAGCCTCGCGACGTTACCGAGTACGCTGGCTTGGGTTTCCACCTGACGAGGACACGTGGGAGACGCGTGCAGCTCTTCTTCGGGATGTCCCCGATGTTGTTCGTGACTATGAGGCGAAGGTCGCTGCTGCTGAAGAGACCACGGAGCTCCCCGCGGAAGCTGAAGCCTTAAGTGAGCGTGATGATGAAAGTGGACCCCCACCGCAAGCTCGAGGTGGCGTTCACCGCGAAGACTAAGAAGAAAACCCGACGACGACCGCCGGACTCGAACCGGTGACCTCTGCCTTGGTGACGCAGCGTTCGACCACTGCGCTAGCTGGACTTCGAGCCCCACGACGACGCGCGCGACCTGATCAAGCTTGGAGCGACTGCGCATGGCAAGTGGCAAGAAGGATTCGCGTGGGGATCGAACCCACGCGTCACAGCTCAGCACGGTGAGCGCTTGCCCACTACGCCGCTCCACCGATGATCGCCGGTGTCGAAGCTGTCCAACCTGGTCTCACTGCCACGTCGGTTCGAGTCGACGGTTACGCGACTCTTCGTCGGGAGTCACTTCGAAGGGTCGTCGCGAAGAGCCACGCCACGCTGATCGCCATCCTGTGTCTCGACAATCACCGGGTCTCCGCTCTGTGCGCATCACAGTTGCGCTTGTCGTCAAGCGTTGGTGTCGCTTCCCATGCTGCGTCGTTGCCACGACCGCCGTCCCTTCGGGTGTCCGTGGATGTCGGCAGCCACTTGGGGCACTGCGCGTTGCTTCGGCGTGCGCGCCGACGAAATGTCTTGATGTGTGTAAGTTTGCTGCGCCTGCGCCGTCCTGTGTCGCTCGGTAGCACGAGCGCCGTCCCTCCGCCGCCTCGGACGTTGCGTAAGCGCAACTTTGAGAGGGGGGGGGTGATGAAATCAGAGGTTAGGATAATCGACCAAATCATGGTATTAGTATTACTGGCCCTACTATAAATATTATAAATATCGGTTATACAATACTTTCGTATAGAAAACAAATATCAGTATTAATACAGATTGTATTGATACTTTGGGTAATACTTTATGCTAGTACAAATTTATGTGGCCCACATTAGCTCGGCTTCGCCAGTGGCGAGTCTATACTGATCCCAAAGAACAGTTCAACGCTGAAGCGTTCCTATCATCTTGACGATCCGAATGGCATTGAAGACCTTCTTCATAGTATTCATACGACGGTCCTTATGTTGCAGAGGCAGCCAAGACAAGCGTAGCGCGACCTGAAGATGTGGCTATGTAGTGGTAGTCCCGCGGCACTGGTCTTAATTAACACAGGCAGGGAAATATTTTTGTGGGTAGTTGGGAAGTATGTCGGTAGCTTGGTTTAGTGATCGAACGCAAACTTCCCCTTTGCATTTAGATAGAAGTTTCTGTTAAGGTCGTAGTAGACGTTGTCACGGGCCCTCGCGCGGGTCCCGCGGTCCGACGGGTATCGAATAGCACCGCGGAGGACGTACAGAGAGTGGAAGTCCGCGAGCATGCACTGAAATAGCGCCTGCGTGGGTTCGGAGGGGCTTCTGGAATTATAAGTGTAAAATATTAAATAAGTAGGTAGATTGACAGTACATAAAGTAGTTAAGTCAGTACACGGCTAGCGTATACTGACGGTCATCATGATTGGCTGAATTGGGGGAGCCAGACGCCATTTCAGCCAATCAGGCGTTGACCTGCATTTGAGTGGCTCACGTGAGGCCAGGGGTAGCCGCCCTGGTCCTTACATAAAACAGATTTGATTTTTCCCAAGACTGACTGCTTGGTCTCATTAAATCCGAGTCTAAACTAAGCTTCCTCACCGCTATGTGTAAGCTAGTGACGAGCACACACCTGGCCCGTTACAAGGGTGCTGCAGTGGCTCAAGTACGTGCAGATGTATCGGACCAGGAAGAATGGATATCGATGGGATGATGGCGAAATCTTCGTGAAGTTGCTGCAGTCATCAAAGTCGGAAGCAGAGGTGGCGAAACTGTTCCAATCTCTCAAGACGAAACCAGAGTTTGCGAAACTCGGCGAGAGGTTGCAGATGGTGCAATTCGGCTCGTGGAGAATCAAAAAGATGCACCCAAGCACCATCCCGAGCATGTTGGAACCGACGCACGGTATCCCTCTGAAAATCCAAGAACGCAAATCGTGGAGAAGTATGCCTTGGAGTATGCCATCCGCATGGGTATGAGGGTGGCTGGAGACAACACCAAGTTATCTATCGCTGATCTTACTGCTATCCTGAAAATTAGTTGAGCTGGTGACCAGGATAAAAAACATAGAACACATTGTCTAAGTCGTACGCCTTTCTAAACCCGATGCAGGGTATGGACAACAAGTTAGCCGCGAAGCGAAGTCAATTCAAAGCCATCAGATGAAGCCTCGAATACTGTAAGTTAATGGATCACAATGCATAATTAAAACTTACTCATGAGGACGGGTTCACAAGTGACGAATAGTTCTACCAGAGTATTAAGGCAAAATAGAGGCACCCTTGCACGATAGGTGTTCCCAGTTAAGTCGAAGACGATCTAGTTTGTCTCCAACGCTACACCAACCGTGTTGCGGGTCAGCATTGATCGCGCGATTCTACAATTGCTATAGAATGCAACTCCACATGCATTATATTGCCACGGAAATGGCTGTTCAGAATGACGAGCAATGTTGTCATCATTGATCGCGCGATAGTTCCTAGCGTTGCATGTATGAATAATATACTTTATTGTTATTTCAATTCGACCTAGAACGACAAAATGGCCCCTGCAAACACTCGGTATTCAAGTACATGTACTAGTAGCATGCAGCTGCCCTTCGAAGTGACATCAGCTTAGTTACAACTGCTTGCTACAGACGCTTACTTGCTCGCCTCAACTCATATCTTTGTATAGCGGGTAATTTCCATAAGCGATTCAAACAAAAAGCGAGACATGGAACCGATGGTACCAGTACTTCTACAGTACACTGATTAATTAAACAACGCTGTTTGCTACTGTAAAGTCGAGAAGTCATCATCAATTCCACCGCCCGTCGGCGCCCACAAAGCCTTGCCTTCTCTTATCGTGTGATGGGGCAAAGTCAGCATGAATTTTACTGTCAAGCAGGGCACCCAAAGCACCGTATTTATTTTGACGCAGGTAAAGCATCCTTTGCTGCCGACTTTCCTTTCTGCTCCCAAGCACTCAAGTCATCCTAAGACCCGGCCAACCGGCCATGCGTCTGCACTACATCGTCACCCTCTTGGTCGCTCTCATCACCAGCAGCAATGGCGTCTCTGCTATTGAATCGGAGCATGCAACACTCCCCAATGTTGCCTCGGTCGACACTTAGGCTTCTGAACGTTTGCTCGCTGCTGCTCAAGCCAACATTGTTGCCCAACGATCTCTGAGGTCCCACGACCCGCTGAGTGACAAGGAAGAGAGTGAGGAAAGAGGGCTCGGTAGTAAATTGAAGGAGCTCAAACTTTGGTGGATGCTTAAAAGGGGCATGAACTCCAAGCAATACGCCAAGGCCATCGGGTTGAAAAGCCTTAAGCAAAACGCGAACTGGGATCCGAAACTCGAAACGCTCGTCAAATACGCCGCTTCCTATGGAAAGAAAAACTAAGAACCACCGTGCTCGTGCCGGACACTTGCGCAAGATAGGGTGCAGAAGCTAATGTATGCATCCGTTACATTTTTTTTTAATTTGTCGTTCCGTATTGAACAGAAGGCTTAGTTTAGCGCCTACGTTGGTATCAACGTGCAACGGTGTGCTTGGAGGAACGACAGAATATGCCTTTATCGACAGAGAATACATAATATTACACCTTTCACCGGCCTACATGAGGTAATCCTCAACCAAAGTGAGCAGCTTTTAATTTGGGCAAGGGCGAGGTCCCCAATTTAGGCAGTACCACTCTGAACTTTACAATCAAAGCTGTCTAATCCTCACTTGAAGTCTACCACCACGGCCCCTCGCATCGCCAAGACCGAAGCGAGCATGCAACTTCTCGAGCGTGCTGTTCACGTGTGTATGCCACGCATCACCCAGGCTATGTATGGTGCAAAGCATGGAACTCCACGCCTCGACGTTCGTCAACGCCACCATCCGCATGGAGGACATGGTGAACGGCGAGTATAACATTTAAAAAAACTTAAAAAATAGTTGGATCGGTACGCGCTGGTACATAGTACCATTCCTGATGAGGATTAAACAGCTTTGATTGTATTGTGTTTTCAACTATTTTGCCGCCCGATTTGACGTGTTATCTCGGAGTCCGATTTATATAAAATGGAGCTCCTACATGATCGGTTAGTCCAATTTAGCTATATCTGACCTGAGTTAGTAGCATGAGGCTCAGAGGGGAGGCATTCCAAGTTGGCCATACCTCCCCCCCACCTCTCATGACGCATTAGAACTGCAAGACATTGGGGACAATAGTACACTGTATATAGCCACTTCATAGCACTATGGCCAGCTAAATCACCTGTGTGATCATCTACGGTCGCTACAACTCCGTGCCACGCCTGAGAGGGCCCCAGGCATGTTTTCGCGGCGGTCCCTTTTGCCGGCGAAAAGCGGTATTTCTGGCCCCTGCTTCGCAACTCGCAGCCCCCAGACGCAAATCGGGCCAGATATAATTTGCTTCCCTCAGACCCTCCTGCTAAATCGGAGCCCTCCAGCAAATCGGGCCCGATATATCGGATCTCGGACCACCCGATTTGCCAAAACGGTCGCCCTTAAAAGCTGCTCACTTTGGTGAGGATTACCCTCATGTAGGCCCGTAAAAGGTGTAGTTACTCGCTACAGCTTCCCAGTCGCAACAATATCCCGCCGCATTCTGCACTCGGCCAAGATTCGCACACGGTGAAGTCGAATAGTTACTCCCAGCTCCTCCAGGTCCTGGTCGGTAGCCTGAACTAACAATGCCCCGTCGATACCTTGAGCGCGAAAGTTGGCGCCGTAGCTGCCGTTGTCGAGTCCCAGCGAGTCTAAGAAGTTCTGCACGTCGCGAACCCCCCACTGCTCCACATCTCCGTCGGTGGCGTTGAGCTGTTGGTTCTGAAGCTCTTCGAGTGGTTTCTGCACTCGTCGACTTGGCATCACTACTCCCATACTGCGTTTGTGCTCGTCGACTCGCGCTTTGGACAAGGAAGTATTCACGCGTAGCACAAGGTCGTTCCGGGCCTGCTCGTCCTCCAGCAGAGCTGTCTCGAAGAGCGACGAGTAAGGAGTGTCTTTGCGTTCACGCAGCATTGGCTCAGCCGCACATGCTCGTTTTGGCTGAGCCCGTGCAAGTCCCCGATTCTCACCACTCGATCCTCGACGGTCTTTAATTGCACGATAGATGGCTTCCTTTCGTTTGAACTCGTTCTTGCGCTGATACACGTCCCCCGAACGAAACCTGAGATCGTTCACGAGACTGCCGATCCGGATTTGCAGTCGTCGGCGCTTGTCCGGGAGAATTGCATCTTCCAGACGGGCTTGAAGACCGGCAAGCTCATCACGCATTGCGCCTAATTCATGTTCAGCCTGGGTAATGAGCTCACGGCTTAGAGCAATATCCTCACGCATGGCCACTTCTCGAGGGTTGGTTGAAGCTGCACCATCGCATGCTCTATCTTGACCGACAAACCCGACTTTCGATCGTGTTGCGGGAGTTGGTTGCTGCTGTCGTTCAAGCGGAGCAATAGCAGCGACCGAGCCGCTTTCATCTTCCTCCTCGCCATTTTCAGCCGCCAGCTTCAGTCGAATCTGACGACGTCGTGCATCTGCCTCCCGTTCACGAAGTAGAATCCTGGACGCAGGAAACACGCGCCGCATGCTGACATCGCCGACCCAGTTGCCGAACAACTGAACCGCGGGCTCAGGGTCTTCGTCCCGAAGCGCTGGGTGATCCAAGTGCATCAGAGCTAGAAATGGGTTCTGCGTCAACCGAAGCACCTGGAGCGACTCGAGGAGGGCCACGCCTCTGAAGGATGCGAGGAAGTCCGTGTCGGCTGTCATCTTGAGCAAATAGTTCACGCTTCGCCATTTGAAGTTCGTAGCTTGGGCTTTCGCTTTCTGCTGTTGCTGCCATCGATCAATGTCCTCGACGATCTGCACACTCACGGAGCGTAGCTGGTCAATAACGCTCTGGAAAACGATCGGCGCCTTCGATATCCCGGAGATCCGAGGTTGTTGGGGCTTTTTCGCCGCCTCTAGAAGCTGCTGCAAGGCTTCGAGACACCCCTCACGCTCGACAATTTTCTTGACGATGTCCAAGTCGTACGGCTTTTCAAACGAGGCGCACGGTGGGAAGATGAGCGGGGCTGAAGCTGAGCCGTGTAGCGTAGTCGACTCTGGGGCCAGCGAAGTCATCGGGGCAGCCTTGATCACTTTTAAAAATGAAGTTGCTCAACGGGATCACAACACCAGAATCAGAACTCACCACACGAGCACACATTGACAAGCGACCGAAATAGTGCTGTAGTGGTAAGGCAAAATAATAGCCCATGGTGCTAGCAGATCATGCCCAATAGGCTACAGCCGATTGCTCCAGGCCAACAAACCGAATAATGAAGCCACGCACCGTTTGTTTTCATGGGTTTGCTGTATTTCATAGACAAGCTGACCCGCAAGCCAACTCGCGCCGTCAGCTACCAGTCTGCGTGCTCACGACGGACCAGACTCCCCATATACTGAATTGTCTGGTTAGTTCTTGGTCGTGTCCGAGTCGAAGCTGTCCAAAGTGTACTCTCCGAGTTCGCCCTCAGCGATATCGCCAGTCTTGGCGGCGATCCGAGCTGCCTCCTTGGTGTTCTGCTTCTGGATGTTTCCGAAAATCGAGAGCGCCGAGGCCACCATGCTCGACGGGTCGTTGGTGTTGGCCGGCAGCAGCACGGTCGTGCCCTCCTTGGCGATGTTGCCGAACGCGTCCACGTACTTCTCCGCCACCTGGAGTGCCACCGCGTCGCGTCCGCCCGTCTCCTGAATAGCCGTCGAGAGCCGCTGGATAGCCTCCGCGGACGCGTTGGCCTTGGCCATGATGGCAGCAGCAGCACCCTCCGCCTCCAGCACGGCCGCGCGCTTCTTACCTTCAGCCACGTTGATGTACGCCTGGCGCTCACCCTCCGAGTCGAGGATCTCGGCGCGCTTCCGGCGCTCGGCCTCAGCCTGCATGTCCATGGCGGCCTTGACGCTGCGGGGCGGGGCGATATCGCGGATCTCGTAGCGCAGGCACTTGATGCCCCAGGCCTCGGAGGCCTGGTTGATAGCCTCCACGATGCTCAGGTTGAGCGACTCGCGCTCCTCGAAGGTCTTGTCCAGCGTGATCTTGCCCAGCTCGGAGCGCATGGTGGTCTGCGCCAGCTGCGTGACGGCGTAGAGCGGGTCCTCGACGCCGTAGCTGGCGTTGTACGGGTCGATGATCTTGACGTAGAGCACGCCGTCGATGCTGATGGTCACGTTGTCGCGCGTGATGGCCGTCTGGCCCGGGATCTTGATGGCCTCCTCCTTGAGCGAGTGCACGTACGCGATGCGGTCCACCAGCGGGATCAGGAAGTGCAGCCCGGGCGTCAGCACGTCGTGGAACTTGCCGAAGCGCTCCACGACCCACGCGCGCTGCTGCGGCACGATCAGCACGCCCTGCAGAAAATAGTCCGACACAAAATTATTGTCATGTTAAGTATCAAGTCACAAATAAGAAGTGCGGGTAACTAGCTAAGAGAAGACCAGAGCCGTACGATGTTGGTGGGCGTGTCCTGCAGCCGAGGCATGCCGCTGTCGTCGAAGGGCTGCGCCATGAGGGCGGGGCGCGAGCTGTGCAGCAGCCGCGAGGCCGACGGCTGCACGAACGGGCTGGCGGCGCGCGCCGCAGCAGTGAGAGCGGCCCCCTGCGGCCGCGTCTGACGCGCCAGGAGCTTCACGGCGAGCATGGCGCTGGGCTTGGGGTTCTTCCGGCGTGCGGATCACAAAATGACCAGCGTACCCAACAAAAAGGATCGGAAGAGGCCCAAATCACAAAATGTAGTATCTGTGTCGGACTAAATTGGATACGTTTTTCCAACCAATAGGCGGATTTCCCCTTTTCCGCCAATCACACTTGCGCGCCGCCATTGCGGGGTCATTTGCCATTTCGCGCGCGGAGGCCCGAGCTCGCTGGCCATGACTCGACGCGGCGGCGCCTCGGAGGACGCGCCGGACGCGCGCAGGGAGCGCAGCAGCAGCAGCAGCAGCAGCAGAAGCGGCGGTAGCGCGGCCGTGCCCGCTGCCTCGCCGCAGTTCGCGGCGCTGCACTCGCGCGTGGGCAAGAGGTACCAGGCGGCCATCCCGGAGCTGCTGGCGGCCCCGGCGGACGCGGCCGAGCTGCTCTTCAAGCAGCAGGCGCTGCAGCAGCCGCGGCCCAGATACCGCCCCGACCGCGCGGAAGGTGCGCGCGTGGATACACTCAGTTTTTTTTATTATTTATCTTAAAGAATTTTATTGTAATTAATATATTTTAATGTTGTTATCTGATTGCAGAGCTGGGCGTGGAGCTGGACAAGTATCTGAAGCTGGCGCGCTCGCTGAGGGACGGCGCAACGTTCGACACGCAGGAGCAGGTGGAGACGCTGGCGCTGCAGCACCTGCACCGCTTCGACTACAACCCGACGGACGCGGCGTGCTCGCTGTATGCCCGGCACAGCATCGAGCTGCCGAGGGCGGCGGGGGCCGCGCCGCCGTCCACGACCAAGAGCACAGCAGCGGAGGAGGCCAAGAAGTGGCTCCTGGCTTTCTACCGCTGCATGCGGCGCACGACCATCGACGAGAAGGTGCTGAAGCAAATGTGTGAGCTGCATGACAAGACGGAGCAGAACGCTGATACGATTCATGCTACGGAAGCTGGAGTGCTGAAGAGACTTGTGACGCGTATTTTAAAGTGGAGAGAGCAGTGTGAAGAGGCCAGCAAGAGTAAGGTGGACCGCGCGCGGCTACTAAAGCTGCTGCACCAAGCCGAAGACATGCAGGTTGAGTTGCCGGAAAAGGAGGCGCTCGTCTCGAGGTTGCGAACATTTGACTTAGCGTTGACGCAGCTGAAGGAGGCGCTGGAGCATAGCAGCAAGCGCCACCAGAACAGGAAGGTGGAGTTGGACGAACTGAACGGACTGTTTGAAGCAGTCATGGCACCGCAACTTGAGTTTCCGGAAGAAGACAGGTTTCGGGCTACTGTGGATGAAGCCAAGGACCTCAAGGCTACTATCGATAAAATGCTTGGAGAGGACAAGGTGAGCTTGCCCGTGATGCGGGACGTGCTTGCAAAGATCGAGCTGGTGCCGGTAAATTTCGAGCAGGAGGTGGAGCAGTTCCAGAACAAAATGCTGAATGCACAGACGTGGCTAGCCAAGGCGCGCAAGTGCATGCCTAACCGTCGCGCAACGCGCCGAGCGGGTGGAGGAGACACAAAGAAAATGGATCTGGAGGCTATTCGCGCGCTTGTAGATGACGCACCCTGTGAAAATAGTACCGAGATGTTTGAGATGCAAGATCTACTCGAGTGTGCTGACGTGTGGGCCGTTAAGGTGAAGGAGGCGATAGATGGTGGTGCTGACGTAACGCTTGAGCATTTGAAGGAGCTTTTGGACGAGGCGAAAGACATTCCCGTGGTGATGGACGAGCAGAAATTTTTGGAAGCCGAGATTGCTGCGCGTGAGTGGTGCACAACTGCTGCGGAGAAGCTAGCCTCTCGCAAGCCCATCGAAGAAATGGAGGAACTGATCACACAAGCGAAATCGATTCGTGAACGAATTCACCCGAAAAAACAGTCACGCTGGAAACCGCAGGTGGAACGCGATATTCATGCCGCGATGGACCAATCTCGCAAGTGGATCAATGAGCTGCGCGACAACCTTGGTGTTGCGGCGTTCGATAAACTGTTTGCGTCGTTGCCGTCGTACGTTCCTTCTTCACACAGGTCATCAACTTCGTCGGCGAATGTGGATAGAGCGCAGAAGAAGTCAACGGATGCGATCAGCAAACTAATTGAAAAGTCGCAGGCACTTACAATCGATGTGGCATCATACACTACACCTCTGAACGAGCTGCTTTTGAAGGGTATCGAAGCGCAAGCTGAGGCCAGCGCTATTTTGATGGGTATTGGTTGCTGGTCAGGAACGGATAATGATACCGCTGGGATGGAGATTGATTCGATGCCTCGAGAGCTTGGTGATCTGGCCCAGGCGTCGTCGCTTCTTGAGAGGATAGATGCATTCCCGTTTACATTCGAGGAAGGGCTTACTCTCGCCGGCATCGTGGAAGGTGAGAAGGCCTGGGCGGCACGTGTTCGCGACTGCATTCCTCCGAGGCAATCGAGGAAAAAGCGTCAAGCCAACGAGTCATTTACCATGGAGCAGCTACATGAACTGCTTGATGAGTCGAAGAAGCTGTACTTTCTGTTCAAGGAAGAGCTGCGCATCCTCTCGAAGGAGCTCAGTGATCTTACCACATGGCGCGCCAAGGCTCAGGAAGTTATCCATGGTGATGTGAGTGTATCCATAGCAAACGTGGTTGAGCGTCTTCAATCGTTCGATTTGCTGGTATATGGGAAGCTTCAGAAGGCCAAAAAGAAGCTCCACATTGGAGATGTGGCCGCCACCGAAACGGAGAAAGAAGGCAACCAAAGCACCGACATGGATATCTCCTCAGTGCCTTCTGACGAAACGCAGGAGACCATTAAAAAGGAGGAGGAGAATGGCCCCAGTCCTATGGAGGTTGATGCGGAGGGATCAAACGACACTGCAGAGGCTGCGGTGACCACAAAACAGGAGACCCCGAAGCCAGAGGTCGTTCCGTCTAATGGCAAAGTCAACAGCACCGAAAATGGACAGGTATCGACTGTGCCGAAGCTTGCAGACACCAATGGCCTCACGACCGTGAAGGTGCAAGTGCTCGAGGTGCACGCTGATTCCATAATGACCCACGTTAGAATTGAAAGCGGCTGCATGCAAAAGTCGACTGCCAAGGGCGAGGAGGACGATGCAAGCTTCGAGGACTCGAAGTCGTCCTGGATTGCGAAGAATGGACGAGATTTACTGGAGCCGGTGTTGACGATGGCAGAAGAAAGCTTCACTGCCGTCAATAGCCTAGAGTTGAAAGAGGCTGAAGCTCGACAGACAGTCGAGGAGCTCGTACTGGCGGGGGATGACGGCGATATCACGGAAAACATCACCGACGAGTCTGTACGAGCTTTGGATGGTTGGAAACAGCAACTTTTGCACGCGCAAAAGGAAAGTGACGTACTCAGCGTGGAAGCCCCGGAGCAGCATGCTTTGCAACTCATCATATCGTTATTGGAGTGGCTGCAAGGCTCTCGATCACTTTTCTATGATGAAATCCTCCCCCTCCAAGATCTGGTTGCCAAGGGAGACAAGCTTGCTGAGGATCTCGAGGCAGTCAAGGCACTCGACGTTGTCAAGCCAAGAACGCTCGAGACGTTAGAGCGGATGCTGTGGCCCCTGCCGTATTTGAAGAACCACGAAAAGGTGGTGCTCGAGTGGACAGAGCGCGTTCACAAGTGTGTGGCCGACAAGCATGCTCACGTTACTGAGCTTCAAGCTCTCTTGGATAACGGAAGTGGACTGCTATTGGAGCAGGGAGCATTTAAAATTGTCATGGAAGAGGCCAAGAAGGCGAGACTTTGGCTCTCCAAGCTCAAGAAACGCTTGAGGGCATTGATGACAAAGGGAGTGGGGCGAATGAGCATGAGCGCAGCGCGCTCCCTAGTTGAGGAAGGCGAGGATATCGCGATCGACATGCCAGTGTTCGACTTCTTGAAAGAACACCTGGAGATTGCGAGTGACTGGGAGAACCGTGTTTTGGCGTCCGGGATCGAGAACGGCCAGGCGCGGGTGGCAAACTTGCTCGCATTGCTTAACGAGTATGAGTGCGCTCGGTTGGTGATCGACCTCGATATGCATCGGGATGTACTGAAGTCAGCCACAGAACGCTACTGCATCTGCCGGCAACCTTTTGACGGACTGATGATTGGGTGCGATTACTGTGATGACTGGTTCCACGACAGCTGCATCGGCATGTCCAAGGAAAAGGCGGAGAAGGTGGAGCACTATACCTGTCCGTCGTGTACAATTTTGCAAGAGCTTGAAGCCATGTTGGAACAGGCAAAAGTTGCCGGTCAACAGGGAAATTTGTGGGACATGCAAGAGTACGCGAAGGCCTTCGAGAAAAACCAGGCTAGTGCCTTGCGTAAGGTAAAGCGCGAGGAGAAGACTGTCGAGCGTACTGAAATGCTGCTTTTTAGCTGCAACAACCAGATGAACCAGCTTCGGGCGCGGATTGACGACATCGAACGCGCTAAGGCATGTTTGGCCCTTAACCCTCTCGCTGGAAATGCTAAACAACAAGCACCGAGCAAGCCTGTCGCGCCAACAACCCAACAACCCACAGGTCAGCCTTCGTCAGCTGTGCCAGCAGCGACATCAACGTCTACCGTGGTCAGTACGCCTGCAGCAAAGGCTAGCACGAGTGTAGCAGCCCCCGCTGCTGCAGTAGGGGCTAATGCTCTCCTCCTTGCGGCTGCGACGAGTGTAACCTCAGCAGGCATCAACGCGGCAGTGTTTAATCGTCAGCAGTACCCAAACATCCTGATCCCGCCTGTGCATGCCATCACCAGCTTGTCCAAGACTGTCCCGGCTAAGGAGGAGCCCGCTACCAAACCGGTGGATTCTGGTAGTGTGGCCACCGCAAACAACATCAAGGAAGCCAAGGATTCAGGTGAATCTGTTCCACCCACCAGCTCTTCTCAGACTACCAGCTCGTCTACAACCACGTCCTCATCGACAACACCGGCTACGGTAAGTACCCCCGTGGTCAGTCAACAGCCAACACCAGCAGCGACAAAGCCTACCGTACCATCATCGACGCCGGTTCCTCCGAAACTCCCGACGCCGCCACTACTGAATCCGATGGCTGCCACACTGATGGGCAGCACGGAACGCTTGGCGGCTCTGGTAGTCGCCGGGGGCGTGGAGCAGCAGCTGACGAAGATGAAGAGCGAACACGTGGAGGCGAGCAAGCAAGTGGTCGAGCTTCAGAGCTCGTTGCGTCTGAGTCGAGAACGACTGGCGAATGCTCAGCAAGCGCTTCGTGAACTCTCTGACGTATTCCATGCTCGACATCGTATGCTTCCCTTCGCGCAAACGTGGGTGCAACAGGCTGTATCGCTGCTGAATAGGACGGCGCTGTTGTCGCGCAATAACGTCGACTTCTCGGCTTTTCTGCCTCGGGAGTACGCGGCTGTGCTCGCTCAAATGGATCAACCTGCTCCGGCCGATAGTACTGATCCATCAACGACGCCAGTGGCTACAAGCATCGACAAATTATTCCCCGGCGTGGACATGTTTGCTCGGCTGCTTCGCTCGGTATCATGGAGTCAAGTGGTGGTGTCGCTGTTGCAAGAGCGGCCGTCGCGCGGTGAAATCAGCGACGCTATTGCGTACTCCACAGAGCACGGGCTCTGGGATGACAAGAAGATTTTATCACCGCTGCGCAGCTTGATCGGTCGAGTGGACGCTTGGGTGTCGCGGGCTCACAAATGCATGACGAAAACTGCGAACAAGACGCAGCAGTTGTCACGACTGAAGGTGTTGATGAACGAGTACTCCAAGCTCCCGTTGACGTATTCCAAGACCGCCGAGCCATTGGATACGTACGTGAAGCTGCTAGGTGGTGGCGGAGCTAAGAGCAAGGTCAAGGATGAGGCTGAACCACAGTCTCAAGAAGCTGCAGAGGCCTCCGCAATAAAGGCTCTGGATGAAGCGATGGTCGGCCTTTCCCCTTCATCAGCTACTTCCGGTGTGAATGCTGCGGGTGGAGCTGCGAAGAAGCAAGCACCGCGTAAGCGGAAGGCGTACACACGGAAAGACAAAGCCCCTGCGGCTCGCTCGGCCAAAAAGGTGAAAAAGCCACAGGATGCTGCAGGTGAAGCGGGTAAAGTATTATCATCGACTCGATCCGCTGCCTCTGCGTCAGCAGCCACTGCAACCAAGCAAAGCGCGTCAACATGACGCACCCCGCCCAGGTCGGTATGAAGGGGCGTCGGAAGCCCATTAAGTATGAATGCCTGTGTTTAAACGCCAGGCAGACTGTAGAAAGTAGCCCGTTGTTGTGCGTGCGACGGCGGAGACAAACTCGTGCAGATCGTGAGCGAGACGAGTTGACAGAAGCTCAACAAATGCAACTTATTGTGAACAACCCTGAGGAGGGCGATGTATCATCAAGTTGCCGTGTATTGCTGCGGCGACGGACCGTTTCGCGAGATTCTAACTTTGTTGCGCCGGTCTTGTTGGCGTGTGAAGCGATCCCTGTTCCAAGATATCGTTCGTTGCTCGCAGTCGTTCATGTCTTCACTGCTAGAAGAGCCTTTAGACGAAGCGATCAAGGCCGATGAAGAGGAGACAGAGGTTCCTGCCCAGCTAGACGAGACCGAGGAAGAGAACCAGATAACAGAGGAGGGCGAAATTGAGGCAGCCGAGATCGAAGCGGACGAAGGCGCACTAGCCGAGGAAGATGAACAAACCGAAGTATCTGCTGAAGCGAGTATGGGGGAAGCGGCTCGAGAGAATGGTGACGTATCGCCGTGGGGTGAGGATGAGACGAATCAAGAGGTCGAAGCGGGTGCAGAAGACGACGGCGACGACGATGATGACGACGGAGACGATGCTTGGGAATGGCAGCTTCGAGTCGTGCAGCGCGTGAGCGAAGGCATGCTGGACCTGAGCCTGTTCACGTCGGGCGGGTTTGATTTCGTCGTCGTGCTGAACGTGCAGCAGAACGCGTTGAGAGATCTCGAGCCGATCGCGGGTATGGCTCGGACTCTGCGCGTCTTAAACGCAACTCAGAACGAGATCGCAACGCTGCCGGGCTTGGATTTCTGGACGAAATTCCGTTGTCTGAGTCTGTGCTTTCTAGCTCAAAACGCCTTAAGAACGTGGACAGATGTGCTAGGGCTAGAAGGGTGTGCGGGGTCGTTGACGTGGCTTACGTTGGCCAATAACCCCCTCATGACGCTGAAGAACGCGCGCAGCTTCGTGGTCAACAAGCTGCCCTTCCTGAAGGCTCTGGACAACTTCGTGACTACGGACCAAGAGGTGATTCAGCATGCTCGTCCAAACGCTCGTTTCAGCGCGCTGGCTCCGCGATTAAGCATCTCTCATCTCCACATGCCCCTCGAGTTCGAGACCGACGATGCAGCTCTTGTCTACGCTGGGGAGACGGAGGCAGCCGTAGCAAGCATCTTTGCCGACAACAGCCCAAGCGTTCGTGCGCAGAAGCTCGTAAGAGGGTATCTATCGCGGCGTGCGAATTTCCCGCGCTTCCGCAATGTGCGTGAACTCGTGATCCACGTTCAGAAGCACATCCGCGGCTTCCTGTTACGCCAGCGCATCAAGCGTCAGATCTGCGACCTGGTGGCAGCGAATGGCGAGTCCAGACTACTAATGGCGTCCGTTGCTGCTGGCCACGGACTGTTGTCCCCTCTAGCGCGTCGGACGTTTGAGAAGATGTTGCCGATGGTTCGTCGGTGGCGCACGCAGTTTCAAGCTCGAAAACGCGCCGTGGCCATCAAGAAGATTAGGTTCTGGTGCCAAATGGTGTATCAGCGTCACGCGCGCCGTACTCGCCAGCTTCTTCGTGATCAACAGGAGATCTGGATCTACTACACGCCGGAGTTCGAGCAGGAGCTGCTAACCCTTGCAACACGCGTTGCTCGGCGTGATCCGTATCTGATGACGCTGTCTCGTGACGATCGTCTCGAACTCCTACGGGAGCGTTGTGCCCATTCTGGAATCAGCGTCTTGCGTGGACCAAATCCGAACTCCAACGTCGTGCGGGTAGCTACAGACCCGAGCGATCGACCTCCCACGCCTGAGTCTCGAGGGCAGCACTTCCAGCGAGAAGAGGACGAAGGGTACAAGCTGCTACGTATGACCCAAGATGCACAGTCGACACTGGATGGATCGCCACAAACCGAGCAGCAGCCATACCGTGCAACTCCACCAGGTTGGCCAGCCTTAATCCGAGCTTTCCCAAGTGACAACGTGCTTGAAAACCGGTTACTCGTCACTGAGAAGCAGTTCTTGCAGCAAGATTTGGAGCGCATCGTTTCCATTCAAGCGCAGCACCGACAAGCGATTGCCAACAGCGAGGCGAAGGAGGGTCAAAGCCCTACGAGGCTCCAGTCGATGATGAAGCTACAATCTCGCGCTGTTTTGGTGCACCTCGGTCAAGTCGCGCGCCAGGTTCGGCAGCGACTGGTGATTTGCAACCGGAAAATTCTCAGCGCGTGTGTGAAGCAACAACAGCGGCGACGCGAACAGCTTGCGAGCAAAACCCACTTTTCGATGGCAAAAACGAAAGTCCGAGCGCGAGGGCATGCGCCAACTCGATGGGAACGCAAGAAATTGACCTCGGAATCCTCGGAACATGCGTGTGGTTACAGGAAAATGAAGGTGTTTATCCCTTGGACTATCGACATGTACCTGCACATCGTGGCAAGTCTTGAACGCGCAGTCGCCATGTGCTCTGTGGGACCGGCGAAGGCCTTCGCGTTGCCGTACGAAGAGGCGAAACGCGCCGACGCAGCGTTGCTGATCCAGTCGGCGTGGCGCGCTTCGTTCTGCCATTCGAGACGAAACGCGCTTGAGATTACGATCGCGCGTGCTCTTGTGTGCATTCAGCGGTGGTGGAGGTTCCGTATTGGTCTGCGCCGTCGACTCGACGTGCTCCGCGCGTGCATGCTGGTTGGGGCGAGCATTAATTCTCGGACGCTGTTCATGGAGGCTAGTGTGTATCAGACGCTGGCTGAATCCTGGCCAGCAGTGCAGGCGATCATTTCGAGGCATCGGTGCCACGAACATCGTCTTCACTGTCGAATTGTATCAGGAGCTCACGTGGAGCTTACGCTCACTCCGGGGCAGCTTTTACTCTACAACGCCAGTCGAGAAGAACGGTCGATTCTCCTCCCTCAGCACCAGCACCAGCAGATACCTACAGGGACTTCTAGCCACGTAAGCTCGTCCAAGATCGAACTATGGTCAAATCAACGCTGCAGTGCGTATTTCCCGGTGTGGATGCCTGGCACCCCTGACCCTGTGCAGGAGAGCATGACCTCACGGTTCGAAGATGCTGCAGCGTTATTGCTTGTCGACGGCGTGCAGGTTGAACCGACGCTTATGGAGCGTGAACTCATGTTGGGCATCACACAGCCACCGGTGGCGGAGATGTTCGCTCAAATGAACCCGTTCCGCGAGTTTCCGATGTGCCAGCGCGTGGTGAATTCGGCTACGCGCGTGATGGAACTAGTACATCGGCTTTCGGCGCACAAGTCGACGCGGAATTGGCAGCTCGAGCCGGCGCAGCAGGGGATCGATGCTACGTCTTTTGTGCGGTTGACGTTTGAATCCATCGATGAGGCTCGGAAGCGTGCGCTGGTGTTGCTCTGCAAGACGTTCGACCCCATTACGAAGACGTACGCGAGGATGTTCTCGCTGGAGGCGCTTTTTGGCGCTGCGTTTCGCCACCACCAGTGGGCTCTGAGCCAGGCCGCGACTCAAGAGGAGGTTGAGTCTGTCCTCGACGAGTCTCGAGTCTGGCTACAAGATGAATTCCCATCCCGGTGGTGGATAAACACCGAACGGAAGCTGGAGAAGCTGCGTGCCGCTGTTGCAGCACGCGGAGCTTCTAAGTCTGTCTTAGCAACAGCAAGGGCGTCTCCCACGTTTCACGTCCAACAAATTCCCCCAAGAGAACCTCAGACTATCGAGCCTGTCCGCCCTCCAGACGTGGAGACCCGTGGACCACCTCGAGTGTTTCCAAGGCCTCCACAACCCGAGTCTCCACCCAAGAACACGTCTGCAGTGCCACTGCATGTAGTCGAGTCGACTTTACCCCAAGACGCTGAACGACATCCGAGCGATCGAATCCAAGTCCAAGTTTCAACTATTCCTACTCAACCGCAGGCTCCGTCGCGACCTGCGTCACCATGTACACCGTCGGGAAGCAGTCGGCACCAAAAGCTGGTAAACAGACTGGGAAAGGCTTGCTACGCGTGCATAGAGGACAAGCAGTACCAAGAGCAGCAGACTCGAGACCATCACGTCCGTGATCTGCGAGAGGAAGGCGAACGCGCAATGGAAGCGCTTATTGTCGATCGACGCATGCTGCAGCGTGAGAAGGCGACCGTAGTCGCGAGTATCAAGCTGGACATCGACGTCAAGTTGCAGCGGATGCGCTTCGAGCGTGAACTGGAACAGATACATACGCGTGGAGAATTGGAGCAGCAACGGAACACTTCACGCCGTCGAAAGTTGACGAGGGAGTTTGAGACGAATTTCGTGGCTCAGTCGGGAGCGTTAATGCGTCGCGCAGCTCGAGCCGCCGTTGCGAGCAGTCTGAAAGCAGAAGAGCAGGAACAGCAGCGTCTTACTGCTGCCGTGAAGGTGCGTGAAGCAGAAGCGCTTGAGCGGCGGCGAGATGCCAAGAGCTTTTGGTTTGTGAGAAATCGCCAGGAGAAGAGGGACATGGAGGCAGTGCGGCAACTTCGATCTGCTGAGGCTGACAAGGCAGAACGCAGTCGACTGGCAAGTCTGCAGCGACGCATCAATGAGGACAGTGAGATCAAGAAAATGCTACGGCTGATGTAACGAGGTGGGCACTATCTACATGTAGTGTCAAATGAGTCTGTTGTTTGTTAATCATGAATAGGAAATACACTGGGATTGTATTTCCGCCGCGACCTTTTCGTTCAATGTTAGCTAGCTTACATTCGGAAGTCCCTGCAGGTGAACGATCGACGACCACGTAGCTTTTATCCCTATCGTACCTCCCAAGGAACGGTTTCTCAATGCCCAACAGGACTAACGTAAAAATGCTCTTTCTTGATATCAGCACGAAAACCTGGCCTGGGTATACGCGCCCGTCGAATGTCGGCCAGAATTTGCTCTTTCGGTGCCACCATCGATACTTCTGCCGGACAGTTCTTGTCATCCTCTCGGGCCTCCAGGTCATCATTTACATAATCTTCGGGGTTCCACACCGCCTTTGCTACATCCACCAACCTTCCAGCCAGGTATCCAGATATCGGCATGTGATTCGATCGCCCAGCGATGGGTTCCCAGCCTTTCACGGATCGAATGCAATACGTGAACAGTGTTTTATCGCCAGACTCCGGGTTGTTGCCACCAGGGACGGTACCCTCCGCCGTACCACCTCGTTTCCGCTTGTTCGGTATCGCTGGCACCTTCTGCTTTTTGACACTTTTGCTCGCGGTCGATCTTCCCTCGGACTTCTGCTTTTTTGTTTGTGGTTCCACCGAAGCACCAGTTTGCTCGTTTGGCGGTTGGCCCAGATCTCCCGACTGTTCCTCTTCTTGACCAATCTCCTCTACGGGCTCGTCTTGATACGATAGAATGAACCGATTGCGGGAAGAAATCGTAACCTGCTCTCGCAGGCTGAGGTACACGCGGATCATGTCGGCCGGCGACTTCTCCCTCAGCGTGTTTCCACTCGAGAACGCAAACGTAGGACCCATTTTCTTTCCTGCCGATTCAAGGAAACAGTTCTCGCCTTTCTCCACATTTTTCACTTGCACCAAAATCATCGACACCTTCGGGCCTTTGATGTCGGAGAAAATAGGGATAATCAGATCGATTCCGTTGTGGTTGCGCGGTAGCACACCAGCGGCCCGACGTCCAAGCAGAAACCATAGCGTGCCCTCTGTAGGCTCCTCATCCAGCTGCACAAACTGGCAGAAACCCATTTTCCACGAGTTCCACTTCGACTGCCACTCTTCAAAAGCTTGGACGTCCTGTTGCGGGGCTTGCGATGCTTTAGTTTTCATCACTCGGGGTTTATCACCAACCAGCAACTTTAGAAAGCTTGCAACACCCACCAATTGACCCTTAAACGTGAAATTGTAAAGCTTGGCGACACCGTCTTTTTCCTCGCTCTCCATAACTACCGCCGCGTCCATCACCAACAGCAAAACGATGCGAGCGACGACTTCACCATTAGCGCCTGCGTCGAACGTCTCGTTTAGTACCATCTTCTTGAACTGTGGCAGGATATACTCAGCTAGTGCATTGCGCCGACTGTACCATACGTGCGTGGCCCCAAACGCCAGAGCCGGCTCCGACTCATAGCTGCTGAGCACGCCATCGTGCTTGTAGTTTACATACAAGAGGGTTGACATGAAATCCGCGACTGCTTGAGATGCGGACGATGACGTGGAATGAGCTCGTAGACACAATCGGCACAACAAAGCGGCGACACCGAACTTTGTCTCCTTGGTATAGCTGGCCGAGTTGCTCGGATTCTTTCCCAGCATAAACTTGTGCGCTGCGAGCGATACCACAGCGCCAACAGCTTTTCGTGTATCCATTCTACCAGCAGCAGCAACAATAGCAGCTACACCATCGTACTCGCCCATTGCTGCGAAAAAGGTGCTGGCCCAAAGTGGGCGCCCCATTCCCACCAGAGCACTCCAAACCTTCGCTTCATTCTGCTCCGTCACGGCAGTTTGATACGCAAGGGTTGGAATATGCCCGTCTTCTTCTTCAACAACAACAACACCGTCCCTATTCATCTGGAAACGCCAGTACGAATCCATCGTGCGGGAAAGAACCAGCGGTGGCATCGGGTTTTGTTCACGATCACGATATGACGGAGGCAGCAACAACCGAGGCGTCGGAGTCGCGTTGGCCACCTTGGGGTCGGTATCAATAAGCACCACTAGAATGCCTCCAAGAGAGCCGATCTCTGCATTTGCCCTCACCAGAGCCCTGCGCAATCGACCAATCCAGTCAAGCCTGTTGCGCTTCAGTATTCGTGCTTCATCCACAGCTAAAACCACCACCTGAGGCCTGTGGTTAGCGTCAGCAGCAGCCTTCTTTCGGTCACTCAAGACGCGAGTCAGCTTCCTCTTGGGCGCGCTTTCCAACGCAGCAGCCACCTTTTTGTCGGCCTCGAGACTCGTAAACAATTCAAGCCACTCTTCACCAACCACGTCCCAGTGCTGCTGAGCGTACCCACGAGCTTCTCGCTCATCTCGACCTCCGTTTGGTCGGAACCAAACAGCCAATAGCCAAGTCTCTGTGTTGGTCGAGGAAAGCCGGTCGATCCTTGGTCGCGCATACACATGTACAAGACTCTCATTTCCAGTCCCTCACTCGCTTCTGTCTTGCACGTATTCTCCGCCAGTTTCTGGAGCGATCGACTCTTCCCAGAGCCGGAACTCTGCAGAATCGAGGTCAGCGGCGCCGTGAATGAGCGAGGAGCGCTTGTGTATGCCTCCCAGCACGTCTCCAAGTGCTGCAGGAGGCGTTTGTCCGCGTCTCCCCGGTATTCCAGCTGGATGAACGCGGACAGAAGCTGCTGCTGTAGCTCGCCCTGTTCCGCTGTGGCTTTAGGCGGAATGTTATCTCTCCGTACTTGTGCTGCAACCGCGCGTGCCACTTCCTTCCGCACGTTGAGGGCGATAGGGCCGTACAATGTCTTGATCATCATCATCAGGACTCCGACGATGGCATCCGGGTCCATATCCAGCTCTACCAGCATCTGTGGACTGGTGTCCGCCGAGATCTCTCCCCGTTCTAGTAGAAGCTCGTGCACCATTTTGCTGACGACGACCATCTTGGAATCGCACTCATCGACCATTTTGGCTTGACCCTGCGGTATGGATTGGTTGTAGTTTGAACAACACGGTCGATCAAATGGCAGGAATTACACTCACTTGGCAGTCTGGTGGAATTTTAGCTAATGAGCTTACTGCCAAACGAGAACATGATGGACACAACTTGACATGAGAGGCTGACTCCACTCCGTCACTCACGTCTTACGTTGTTTCTAGTGTTACTTACAACGTCCGAGGAAGTTTAACAATTCCAGTGCAATAGTTGGTAATTGGCTACAATACTGTAACCCGAGAACTTACCTTATGCAGTAATTCTCTATTTTCTACTAAAAAACACGATTTTCTTCGCCCTGTCATTCTACTGTAGTGCCACCATTCCTCAGCTGCGTGGTTTCTTGTACAGCATCCCCATGTTACTAGAGGGATCGAAATAATTCGTACAGTACATATATCTTCCCCTCCTCTCAGTGCTATTCACCGTCATGACCACCCCTACACTGGCCGAAGTGACTCCCGTCATCTCCTCTGTGTGAGTGGTGGGTGCTCTCGCCACTCTATGCAGATCGGACAGTGCGTCTGCTTCCATTCATCCTGCGATAGACCACAACGTTGTGGTGGGTCGCGGGCGGGTGAGGCCACCTCCTTTGCGAATTCGCTTCAAGTCGCTCAAGTGTCGCTCGCTCGCTTGGAGCCAATCGGTGGGTGAGTCTTCTTAGCCACCAAACCTGGCGTCCGGCGTGCTGCCGGGATCAGTTTCTCGGTTGGCGCCACCATCGCGAGTTCTTCCGAACAGCCTTTGTCCTGGTCACGGGTCTCCAGATCGTCTCGTATATAGTCCTCAGGGCTCCACAGCACCTTGGCCAGATCCACCAACCTCTCCGCCAGAGCTTTTGATATGGGCAAGTGCGTCGACAGTCCAGTGGCGGACTCCCAGCCTTCCAACGATCGGGTGCAATAAGTAAACAGCCTATTGTCCTCGGAACAGGATTCCTCTCGTATCCGTTCGCTCGGTACCGCTGCCTGCTCATGCTGTTTGATACTTTCTCTCGTTGTGGACGCGGTCGGCTTGCCCATTAACTTTTGTTTCTTGGATAGTGGAGCCCCCATAGGAGATTCATCGAGGTGATCTTGCTGGACCTCGCGGGTCTGACATGACGCCGCTCGTCTTCCTCTTCGTGTGTGTCCACGTGTGCAACAACGACCCGACTGGGGCTAGAAATTTCACGATGCTCTCGCAGACTGAACAAGACACGGATCATATCGGCGGGAGCTTTCTCTCTCAGCGCATTTCCCCTTGAGAAAGCACCCTTTGGACTCATCTTCGAATCCAGGAATCCGGTCTCGTCCTCCATCAAATCGTTCACTTGCACCAAAATAATTGACACCTCCGGGGCTGTCAAGTGGCCAAAGATAGGGACAATCAGATCCATTCCTCTGTCGTTGCGGGGCAATACGCCAGCAGCGTGTCGTCCAAGCAGAAACCATAGCGTGTCCTCTGTAGGCTCCTTATCCAACTGCACAAACTGACAGAAACCCATTTTCCACGAGTTCCACTTGGATTGCCACTCTTCAAAAGCTTGGACGTCCTGTTGCGGGGCTTCCGATGCTTTTGTTTTCATCACTCGGGGGGTTGCACCAACCAGCAGCTTCAGAAAACTTAAAACTCCCACGAATTGGCCAATAAAACGAAAGGTATCGGACCGCTTGACAACGCCTCCCGCGACTTCACTCTCCATGACCACCGCCGCGTCCATCACCAGCAACAAAACGATGCGAGCGACCACTTTGCCGTTGCTGTCTCCATCCAGCGTCTCGTTCAGCGCCATCGTTTTAAATTGTGGCAAGATAAAATCGGATAGAGCATTCGCTCGACTGTACCACACACGTGTGGCCCCGAGCGCCAGAGCAGGCTCCGACTCGTAGCTGCTGAGCACGCCGTCGTGCTTGTAGTTAATATACGTGAGCGTCGCCATGAAGTCCGCCACCGCCTGGGATGCGAACGAGGACGTGGAATGCGCCCGGAAACCCAGGCGACACAGCAAAGACGCGACGCCGAACATAGTTTCCTTAGTGCAGGTCGAGATGGTCGGGTCCATTCCGCGCATCAACTTGTTGCGCTGCAAGTGATAGGACAGTGTCGACTGCGTGTTGTGGATCCTTAGCATTGCCAGGCTCAACCGCAGCAGCACGTTCAGTGACACCGTCGAGCTCTCCACCCGCAGCTAGAAAGGTGCTGGCCCACAGTGGACGCCCCATTCCGACGAGAGCACGCCACACCTTCGCTTCATCTTTCTCCGTGACGATAGACTGGTATGCATGTATCGGAATGTCGTCGTCTTCGCCTACGTCAATGCCTTCCTCCCGCAGCTGATGGCGCCAGTACGAGTCCATTGTGTGGGAAAGCACCAGCGCTGGGAGCAATGTCAATGGGTTTGGCTCATGATTACGAGATGACGAGTCCGACGCCAACGGCGGCAGCAGGTCAGATACATTGGAGCTGGTGTCGACAAGTACCGCCAAAATGCCCCCATCAAGACCGATTGCTTCGTTCGCCATCACAAGGGCTCTGCGCAGTAGACGATAGTAGTCGACCTTCATGTGCTGCAGCGATAGAAGCATTCGGGCTTCATCTACAGCTAAGATGACCACTTGCGGCTTGGTGGATCCCTGCTTGGCATCACTTGCAGACTTATGCGTCATCTTTTGTTCCAGTTGTGCGTCACGTTCCGAAGCCGCTTCCGAGGCAGAAGCCACCGCTCTGTCGGCCTTGAGACTCGTAAACAATTGGAGCCACTCATCCCCAACTTCCTCCCAATTCTGCCGAGCGTACTCGTAAATCACCACTAATTTCTCGCTAATCTCACGTTCGGTTTGACCGCGAGCAAACAGCCAACTGGCTAGTGCATCCGTCGACAGCGGAAAACCCGTCGAGCTTTTCTCGCGCATGCACATATACAGGACCCTCGCCCTCATGCTCTCGCTGTCCCTCTTGCACATCTCGCCCGCCATTTGTTCCAGAGATCGACTCTTTCCACTGCCAGAGCTCTGCAGAATCGCGGTACACGGAGCCGTGAACGTGCCACGAGCTCCTGAATAGGCCACCCAGCATCTCTCCAAGTGCTCATGAAGCAGTTTGTAGGCGCTTCCATGGTACTTCAGCTGAGTGAACGCTGCCGGTAACTGCTGCCCCAGATCGACATTCGATTGCTCGGGTGTACTCGCTTGCTGGGTTCTCACCAGCTCTCCCTGGAATCGTGCCACAGCCGCTTGCGCCACTGCCCTGGACACGTTGGGGGTAACAGATCTATAGATCTGCTTGATCAGCTGCTTTAGTTCCCCCACGACCTCCTTTGAGTCGACGAACATCTCCTCGTCCAGACCTTCCAGTATTCGTGGGCGTGTGTCCGCTGAGACCTCTCCCGTTCTACTAGAAGAACGTGCACGATGTTGCTCATGACGACCACCTTGGACTCGGTGTCACTTGCATCGCCCACTTTGGTCTCGTCCTACACCGTGATATGGTAAGTCAGTACCAAAAGGGAGGGCGGGGGATAAAGTATAAGCTCAATAGAATTGTTGCGACTGACCGGAGCAGCTACCATTTGGAGGATAATTCCAACATGGAAGCGGCCACGTCGATTGATTGCTGTATTTTAACGCGACCATACCTAGAGTGGGTGACATGAGTCCATCAGTGGTATCTCGATGCCAAAAGCTTCTGGTTCGTGAGGAATAAGAGGAACATGTAAACAGTGTAGTCTGCTGAGGGTATTGCAAGGCACGGCGCATTCGCCTGGCGAGTCTGCAACGACGTATCAACGAGGACAGTAAACTTGAGGAATGCTATGGCTGATGTACTCAAGTAATAGAAATGCTCATATATCAAAGAAGGGAAATGCTGTACTCAGCGTTCGGATTCCGTTTGCCCTACCGGTGGTAGTAAAAGAGAAGGGATTCTCGTGGCGCTCGCTGCGCAAGGACGTGGAGATGTTCGTCAGCAAGTGCATGCACTGCATGGCCACTGCGTCTGGGAAGATCCCCCGGCCGCTGGACGAGACGTTGCGGGCGACCAAGCCCAACGAGCAGCTGCACTTCGACTTCTTATCGATGGCGGAAGGCGCGGGGGGTCTCAAGTATGTCCTTGTCCTCAAGGACAATATGAGCGGCTATGTAGAGCTGGCGGCCTGCGTCCAAGCTACAAATGATGAGGTTTACCAGTCGCTGCTGGACTGGTTGAAGCGGTTCGGTGTCGTCCGACAGTGGGTCTCCGATCAAGGAGCCCACTTCCGCAACCAAGTCATCGCGGAGCTGCAGCGCGCCCTTGGGGCGCACCACCACTTCACCACGGCCTACACACTGTGGGCCAATGGCACCGTGGAAGTGGTGAACCGAGAGGTCTTGAAGGCGGTGATAGCGCTGCTGAGCGAGCGTCGCTTACGCGTCGAGGACTGGCCACCGGTGCTACCAGTAGTACAGGGGGGACTGAACCAAATGCCGGCCGACAGGCTGAACGGCATGTCGCCGTTGACAGCTTTTACAGCGCTGTCATGTGGAACGCAGCTGACCAGCATTTTGCTCCCCCGAGAAGCGGTGACCACGACGGTCGACTGGGTCGACATCCAGGTGAGGGAGTATGTGGAGACAGTGCGTGTAGCCCTGGACGGCATGCATGCTGAGATGACTGCTGCGAGTGAGAAACGCAAGCGCGCGCTAGAGCGCGTGTAGCTCGAGGCCAAGGCGTCACGCTGCCTCGTTTCACCGAGGGCGATTTTGTCCTGGCCGCGACGGCCACGGGCAAAAGCGGGAACAAGTTGGCGCTGGTCTGGCGTGGGCCAAAGAGGATCGTGCGGGCCCTCAACGACTAACGTTTGAGGTTCAAGACCTCATCGAGCCGTACGCCATCACCATTCGCCACGCTGCGCGGCTGCAGCTTTACCGTGAGGCTGCGCGCGGCCAGGTCGAAGAACTCACGGAGCAGGCCATTCACGGAGAAGGTGGCGCCCTGGTGGAGGCCCTTAGAGCGTGTCGGCTCAGCTCCGACACGCAGCAGTGGGAATTGCAAGTGAAGTGGTTTGGTCTGGATGAGGTCAAGACCTCCTGGGAGCCGGCTGAGGTCATCAAGGAGGACGTGCCGGTTCTCTTCGCCCGCTTCGTCGATGAGAAGCCTGACGACCCCGACTATAGGTCACAGAGAACACACCGTACACAGAGAACAGTAAGAGTCTAATGTCAGTTTGGGATTAGCACAGCTTGTGCAATCTGAGCAGGCAGATCAGACTCGTCCAGCACCATTTACTACTAGTGAATCACTAGGAGAACCTAGCTGCAACTAGAACATTCGGAGTCCTGCACCTATTAATCTCTTTGTCTATCAGCGTGTCAGAGTTTTAGTACAGACATCCCCGCCTAACTCGGCAGAGTGGTACCAATAAAGACTGTCAGGTTGTAAAATTCGTACAGGCTGCACATAGATGCACTTGTACTGAGTTACTGAATTCGACGCATGGTTGAAGGATGAACATGGAGCAAACCATTGCTGAGGAGCCACGTCGTGTTCCTTTTAAAGCTCATCTATCACAGTATATCTGTATGACAGCAGGAGCAAATCTCAGGCATCAACGTACTATCTGTGCGAGGTATATTACTGATCGCTGGGCCGAGTTCGGCGGAGACGTCTGTAGCGTCACTATCCTGACTGTATTCCACTCGTCATCTTCGATACAGCACGAGGTAAAAGAATTGCTTCCTATCATAATGTATACGCTGGGACAACCGCTCATTCGACAGCACGATCATGTTCGACCAGCAGAGCACGATCAGGGGCATTTACCCACCATCCTGTCAGATTGAGCTACCGAAACATATTATGTGCGATGACTGCTCCAATTTTCACGTGGAATATATTTATCGACAAGTGCACACTAACAAGTTGCTTAGGCATTTCCTCGCTCCGAGTTAGATCATTTTCACCCTAGGACAGCGCTGGATTGTGCTCTGGCTGCTGTGTTCATGCAGAAGCACCAGACTCCGGGGCATGAAAGGGCTCTTTCTACCAGCTGGAGCGATTGATGGCGCTGACTCGCTTAATGTATAACTCATGATGTGGTCTGCACTGCTCTTGCGCGCCACGATCCTTGTGCTGCAAGTGGTAAACGCTGACCACTGGGTGATGTTGACGCCTCCTAGGTTGTTGCGGCGGTTTTGTATGAAACATGATTGCATTCTTGGGTCGAGGTACCGCCGTTTTGCACCGTGATAGGATGCAGCTCAACCGACATTTCTTAGGAGAAGCTATGTACTTACAGCATGCGTGTATTACCGCGAAATACACGCAGCACATCTGGTGGACGAACTTCCATGATTCACATACTTGTTCAAGGCTTTTACTCGGATATTAGTTTCCCTATATAGTAGTACTAGCTGGCTTTCCTGAACGGCTTCATGCCAATGCACGCAGTCATTTTGCACATTTAGAGGGGTAAAAATCGACTGGGTCAATTGCCAAGTAAACATCATGTACTAGAACAAAGAAAGCATACAATACGGTACAATGAATAGTGTCGATTCAAGTCATATATTGAATAAGGTGTATTTAGGTTACTTACACTACGCTGGTGTTTATTATTCCTACCGCGCCGTGCTGAACCTGAACTCCCTTCCGTTCTCTGTATAGCATTTGAGATCGGGGTACAAGACTCGACTCAGTCAGAGTCCTATTTGAAAATGTAGATTAGATTCAAGTCGTATCAGTATGAAAGTGTGGCGACGCCCACCTACCACAAACCATCGTGTCCAGGAGGTTCGTGCGTGTGACTAAGGCTTGAAGGTAATCATGCTGTTCTGCGAGTAGAGTCCCTCCGGCAGGACGAACCAGTTGAAGCCGCCGACAAATTTCCCTTGAGCGATCACACCGTAGATGAAGACAGTGAGGAAGCCGGCGGCGTTGCCTGCCAAAGCTCCGGCGCGAGTTGCACGCTTCCACGTGCCCAGCAGCATGGGCCCCACAGCAATCGTGCACAGCAAGTCGGCGATCAGGTAGAGAGTCATGATGTCGTACTGCTGGTATCCAATCGCGATGGCTGGGGCATTCAGAAGCACTGCAACACACTACAGTCAGCATACCAACAGTAAGAAGAACACAACAACAGCAACAACACTTACCGCAAATGATACGCGCTTGGAGCAGCGTCAGCTTGGGGAAGCAGGTCGTGAGCTCAGCAGCGATGCCCACTTGAAGCGAGTCCGACACTCCGCTCGCCAGCATGGCAATGACGATGATGATGAGCACTTGCCACCCACGGCCCATGTCGATCAGGATGGCGAAGAACAAGTCTCCTTCCGGGTACGCCAGATACGACACCATACCGGCCATCGCGAGCGCCACGGTGAACACTGTGAGAATGATACTCGCCATGAACGCAGCCTTGTAGAGCGTGCGGTCGTCGACCGCGGTGTACACGCGCTGCCAGAAGCCCGTGATGAAGAGATTGGACGCTGTCACGGCGATCACCAGTGTCACCAGTACCTCAAAGCCCGAAGTCGTGAAGGCAGCGACGTTCGTCTTCTTCCATGCCCCCTCCGGGATGGAAACGTGCACAAACATGGCGATGCAGACCAGGCCAACCAGAGCAACGACGTCGATGCCCTGCCACACGTCCGTGGCCAGACTGGCGCGGAGTCCGCCAATGGTGAGGTAGAGGTTCGTGAGGAAGGCCACGAGCAGGATCGTGATGATCGGGTGCGCATCGGGGGACATCATGGTCGTGAGCTGGGCGATGCACGTGTACTCGGACGCGAGGCAGATGAACTGGTAGAACAGCGAGATGCCCCCGATGTAGATGCGCATGACGTAGCCGAAGCGGTTGGACACCACGTCAGTCATCGTAATATTGTCACCCACAGCCGAGCGGATGTACGGCCCGACCACACCCAGCACGACCATGCCCGAGATGCACGACAGCGTGTAGCCAATGACTCCCCACGACCCAGCGTCGACTCCGATCTCCGGGAACGTGAAGAGAGACCCAGCGCCAATTCCAGCAGCGAAGAAGCACCATGCCAGACGCAGCGCACTCGTCGAGTTCTTGGCACTGTGCAGAATTTTAAAAAATAAATGGCGTAAGAATAAGTGGAACCACCTTGAAATTAATAAAAATGAACGCACCTGACGAAGTTCTTTACCGAGTTGACTTCTATGTGGCGAATCACAGTGATGGCGTAGGCTGCCACCGCTACCAGCGTGGCGGCCATCACGCCGTACGTGACCCCATTAGCCAGCATCTTGAAAGAGCTTGGTGCTTATTTCACGCGTTATGTTAGAAATGATATAGAGGAGTACGGCCATGAAACTAGAAAAGCTTACACTTGTTCTGTCTGGAGGAGGTCGGGAGGGCAGCAAGCAGCAGAGCAGGAGACACATGCATCGTCAAAACCACCACAAGTGACAGCAGTCCCTCCGCCGGTGCGAACCGGATCAGGTTCTAAGGGTTTGATCTCAGCCGGCCAACGCATGGAACTGGTCCATGGCTGGCAGTCGGCACCCCTCGCTGATTGAATGTCAGTGCATACAAACCCCACAGGAAGGAAGAGAGGACGGAAGGAGAAAATAAAGAAGAAAGCGTAAAAGTACCGGGGAAGAGCGAGGGAGCGACACTTGAGTGACTTGAAGCGAATTCGCAAATGAGGTGGGCTCAGTGGGTAACCCGACCCACCCACCAGTCGCGACCCCCCCCCCCACACACACAACGGTGCGATTTGTTTACAATCGCTGGATGATTGGAAGCAGACTCACTGAGACCACAGTGAGTGGTTGGTGCTCTCGCACTGGAACGTCAAAGACGAGATGACGTGAGTCAGTAATGGAGAGTGTAGCGGTGGTCATGGTGGTGAATGCAGTCAAGTTGACGCGCCGTCCAACTTGGACTCCAAGCGGGACGCTTCTTTTGTTTGTTAGCGACTTGGGCGACAGACATTGGTTGCAGTGAGAGGAAGGATAAGTTGCTTTTCTAAGGAAGTGGTGCGAGGTGGGGCGAAAAACAGTACATTCGTAAGCCTAGCCAAGGCGCCTTGTGCTGACAGTAGTTTGTTTTGAACTACTATCCAGTTAATACCAATATTAAAATGATGCTCAAACTACTATAGTAGCTAGTATTTTGGGACGAGGAGCCGACTAATACTACTGCAGTAACTAGTAACTCAGGTATGCCACATTTATTAATGCAGACTACTGTCACACACTTGAAGAAATTTAGCGGTGTGTGTCAGTCTTTCGGCTTCCAAATGAGGTCTGACCACATTCCCATTTAGTACAGATGAAGATTTGCGACGTGCAGGGCCACTGATCTAACCACCGTACACAACATTGCTACACTGGCTTTGCTCGTGTCAGTCGCATACAGCAAACCCCGATCCCCCGAAGTGGCCAAGATTGCTTTGGTGGCGTGAGCTTAATTTCCCCTTCGAAGGAATGATCCCCATGTTGCACAGCTTATATGGGAGCCACTTAGAGCAGTAAGTGCATAATAGGTATCAATTAGACGGGTCTAAAGTGGCTTCAGGAATCGACCGATGCTTCTCAACTGGTTGGTTTAACTTTGAATATGAACCAGCACCTCATGCTCGCAAACGAAGAATTTTTGAACGAAGAATCCAACTGTGTGAAGCGTGCATCGACAAAGATGTACTTAGTAGTAGGCTTTTTGCAGATCGATCATCAAAATTAGGAAGTACTAAGTTATAATACATTAATAGTACTGTAGTAGTCGAGATCCTAGACTCGATGATACTATTACTATAGTATCCTGTTGTCTTGTACTAGTATATGACTATAGTAATTCAGAAGAAAATCGTGTTACTGTCAATCCCTGGCCTTGAGAGCAGCGGGCAGATCAGCAGAGGAGCGCGGCAGCTTGAGAGGTGACTTCGAGAGACTACCCCCACTGGGCGACCGAGGTCTCGACGGCGACACGCTGCTCTTATCCTCAGCTTCTTGCTTTAGCACGGCGATCAGTTGCTGTGTAACGGAGTACAAGCAAGTGTACCCATTATATGAAGAGTGACGGGTGTCACTCTCCCGAGTACATGGTACATGGCACCAGTAGCTCCGCAAGCCAACCATTTGAGTTTGTGTGGGCTTTTGTATAGTTAACTTGCAAAACACAGTCAGTCTTATAACCTACTCATTTGCGGAAGTGCGTGTGGATATTACTATCCAGGTGAACAGCAGTTCACCAGTTCCCGGCCTCAAAGGGAACGGTTTGCTCTCTGTGCATTGTGCTGTGTGACCCCGTCACACCTGGTAGCACTTGCAGTCAATCCTACGCCTACGCAGGTAGATTGGTGTACTTGAATCCTCGGTGGCTCAGGTCTGTGAGCCACGATGGACCGAAGTGAGTTTTCTCACTTGACTGACTCGCAGCTCGAGTCGGTGCGGAAGATGGCGGGCATCTTCGGAAGAGATGCCCTCCGGAGCTTGGCGGCGGCGACGCCAGCCGAGCAGGTCGAGCGGGTGAGCGCGTTTGACGAGTACGAACGTGGGCTCATCGCTCATGTGCAGGGAAACCTGCTGGCTCAGATGCGTGAGCCCAAACGGGTGCAGCCTAAGCCTCTGCGGCTAGCTGTGCCTCCGTTCGAAGGGAAGGAAGGTGAGAACCTTCACTTCTGGATCCGGGAGACCGAAATCGCAATGAGCGCAGGTCTCATCTCAGCCGAGAACCTTCGAGTCGGCTTTGAGCTCTCCAATCTTGGCGGACGTGCAAAGCCTTGGGTGTATACGCGCGAAGCGATGTCGCCTGGATGTTTCACATCCTGGGCCCAGCTGTGTGAGCAGCTTCGAGCCGCTTTTCTCTTGGCGAACAACGAGTTCCGCCAGCGCTCGCGCTTCCTTGTCTACAAACAAGGGGAGCGCGAGCAGTACGCATACGTACAGGAGATGCGCACGTTGGCAGCCTCGCTGGTGGGAAACCCACTGTCGGAAGACGTCGAGATGACAGTCTTCGTGGACGGCATGAAGGTCGGTCCTGCGCGCACGCAGTTGTTCCGCGTGCGCACCGCCACTATGGAGGAGGCGATCCAAGTCGCCCTCCAGGAGGCGTACAGCCAGAAGCAGGCTGGTGCTCTGGCTGTTGTACAGCCTGTGGTCGTTGACAGCGAACCAGAACCCATGGATCTGAGTTCGGCTGAGCAGTACTCAGCCCGCTGCTACGGCTGCGGCTGACTTGGACACTACCAACGTGTCTGCCCATCGCCAGGGTCTGTGAAGAAGACCTACCCGAAGACCAGAGGGTCAAGGGGGCGCCAACGCCATGCTCCGTCCGGTGCTCAAGGGGTACACAACCACCAGTAAGGTCGAGGGCCTTGCTGGGGTTGGCCCGAATTTTTGTGATGGGTATACGGAAGGCGTACACCACAGAGACCCGGAGTCCCTTGCGAGCACTGACGCTCGCATTGGTGAAGGACAACGGTGGGTTGTCGGTAGTACACGTGAGTGTCCGGGGGTAATGGTATCCCTGGACATGATTGAGTCCGGGACGTCGCGCGGATGTTCGCACGTTGCCAGATGTGTCGGTTGGAATAACGACGCAAGTGCCAAGACTCTGCGAGAGAGTCGAAGCACAAGGGCAGGTCTCATTGACTGAGGCTGGGCCGAAGAAGAAGCTTGGGGTCCGCTGTGACCCTGGCTGCCGCGCTCGAGGGCGCTGGCAGCAATGCAACCGCACATGATCCCGGACATGGAGCCGAACATGGTCCCGGACATCGTGCCGAAGTCGGCCCTAGGCATGGAACCGTATATGCCCTCGGCTTGAGCAAGTATTACTTGGCCCTGAGTGCGCCGTGCAAGCTGCACAGGCTCTCGGTCGAGTAGCGCGACAACGCCTTGAGGCTAAGTCTGACAGAGCATTGGTGAGTCATGTTCCCACCTCTGGACAGACACAAGGGCGTCCGATGGGACCGCCAGGGCGCTGGATGCGTCCGACAAGACGAAGAAGATGAAAGGAGGGATCACTGACATGATGATCTCCATGAAGAAGGTGCAGTGTATCTGCAACCGAGGGCTGTTATGCCTGGCATGTGGAGCTGCCTCAACAAGCAACTTCAGTGCTGAGAGTCATTGCTCGGCATGAGCATTGACAAGGGTGGTGTTCGATGACACCACCAGGTGGGTAACCAAGGACCACTGACTAGCAGGTAACTTAGTTCCGCACAGAGCATGTAATGCTGAGGAGGCCGCTCAAGGCACCTCCGGCGTGGGTAACCAAGTACCACGGACGGTCGCCCAGACCTTAACTGAAGAGGAACGCCCTGCACGCGCTTCCTGTGTGGGTAACCAAGTACCACACACGGTCACCCAGACCATAACTGAAGCGGAAGGCGCTGCAGGCACTTCCTGTGTGGGTAACCCAGTTCCACACCAGGTCACTCAGACCTAAACTGATGAGGAAGGTGCACCATGCACTTCCTGTGTGGGTAACAGAGTTCCACACGCGTCACTCAGACGGTAACTGTTTGTGAAGCCGCATGATGCGCTTCCTGTGTGGGTAACGTAGTTCCACACGATGCCGTAAGGCTCCGCACGAGCCGGAAGGAGTCGCTCGAAGCGACTTCAGCGTGGGTAACTTAGTTCCACGCACGGTCAGTATGACCAAGACTAGTGATCAGGTCGCTTGGGTCTCCTCGCGTGTGGTGGATGATCACACGGAGTTTAAGAGGCTCGTGACACCTTCACGATGTCATAGATGCACGGTCCTCTTGAAGGCGCCGCGCGGCTCTGATTTTAAGCGGGGGAGGAGTGCGCGGAAGCACTTCCTTCCTCCAAGGGCTTGACCCCCGGTCATCATGGATGACGTTCGACTGGGTGTCGACCAGCGCAGCTGTGGTCATGCACACAGAAGCCGTGGCTTGGGCACACGATGTAGCTGCGGCAATGCATATTGCGTCGCCGCCGACTCGGCGAGCACGGTCGAGCACGACTGGAGTGTGTCTGCCGGAGGGCAACACCTCAATGACCACATGCAGGAGCATGCTCGGTCTGAAGGCAAAGGCCGCTGCGCGGCAGGGATCGTTGGTACGGTCTGTCGCGGATAGCACTGTGCGGCGTTGGGACAACAAGTGTCCATGACTCGGTGCCGAGATGGCTGAGTCTGAGTATGCGTGCATGCCATGCAGCTACGCTTAATGCAGGACAAGCTATACGCTGTCATGGGTGCCATAGCCCGAAGACGTGGGTAACAGAGTAACACGTCAAGTCACGCAGACTCAAACTGCATCCAGGCTGGTAGATG